GCCAATAATCATAAAAAAAATATTAACGTTAAAAAAAATCCATAATTAAAAAATTTTTCTTCATACAAACTAATTAAGTAAGTTTGTCTAGCTCCTCTCTATTTTTCAACGTCTCTCTCTACCTCTTTTAATTTCACCCTTAACTCTATGATCACTCACTTGAAGTATGTTTTTCTTATTATTTTACTATTATTATTATTTTTTTCCTTCATGTACATCCTACACATCAACAATTCCTTTTGGTAAATTTTTGAGGTTGCCTGGAAGAAATTGCCGCCTTATATACCAATAAGGCCGCCTTTTGATGACCAATATTTTGTTAATTATTTTGTTTTTTGTACTTTTTCATTTTGATTTTTTGGTGTACAATAAAGTATATTATTATAATATTATTATTATTATAAAGTAAAAATGAAACAAAATTTGTAACATCCTATACAACTACAACTGACTGATTCATACATTCAAAGACTTTTTCATACGTTGCCACAGCGTCGTATTACAAGCCTCTCCTTCTAACAGTATGTTTTGTCTCTTTTAAATTCATTCAACTTTACGTTACATTTTTATACGTAAGGCTGTTCTAAAATTCTTTGTTATGGAAAATTTAATAACTGTAAATATTGATGTTTAAAGAATGTAAATGTTTAATACAATTTTAAAAAGTTATCCTCTATATGTGTGTTCATTTATTGTCGCGATTGTAAAGACACGCTGTATAAGAATTTAGACCGATTTTATAGGCAGACCTCGCTCTTTTAATAAGTAATGTAAGAGACATTCATGTTTCTCAGGTTTCTCTGAATAATGAAAACAACGATGTAAATAAGCTGGCGCTACACCACAAAATTCTTAATTTCCCGCTTTGCTTGTTAGTTGCAAACAAAGGTCATTGACTTTTACTTTCATTTCACTTTTGCGTGCGTTCTTTACTTGACCCCTTCGAAAGAACCATAACTTTTAAGTGGTTCCTGAATACTTAATTACCTGTAATAAAAGCTGATACCTGTCCAGATAGAGTAATACGATTTATTTACCTAGATGTAATGTACATTTGTATATTGTGGTGGATATTGTGATGGCCTTGACGACAGTGAGCATGTTCCTGATTTAAGACATACAGGACTTAAGACATACAGCTGTTGTTAAAATTTCACTACATATTATTACATTATTTTACGTACATTTATTTGTCGGTTGACTGTGCACATTAATAGCTGTGCCATTAAGTTGTCCAAACAGTTAAAATCATTTCATGGGTAAAGTTTGAGTGTGTCACGCAGCAAATTTTGCTGTTGCACGTGCCCGTCACTGAGTCTCTTACAGTCGATTTGATTGTTTTTTTTTTTAAACATTGCTTAGGATAACATTATCCTGTGTTGTAAGGACGTTTTACAAACATAAATTGCACGCGGAATTGCAAACACCCAGATGCAGAACAACTATCTGTGGGTCTCAGAAATAGTTGTCCCGTGTGGGAATTACGCCGAAGCCAATACCTTGGCAACTGCGCCACAGAGTCATTATTTTTAGTTTTTTTTTTGTTCTATGTATTTAATATTGACACTAAGAAAAAAAAAAAAAAAAATTTGCTTCTGTTGTGTCCCGAACGAGCAACCAGGTTTTGAAAGTACCACGGTGTTACGGAAGGTCAATTTATAGTAGGTACAAGTATATAGGCTTCTGCATATCGTCTGGTGGGTAAAGTTACCGGGTCGACTCCTTTTTTGTGTCAACGCAAATGATATAAATATAGTCCTGGACTAGCTCGTGATTGAAGTCACATGATGGCCACACACTGGTTGTCGGCGAAGACCTCTGTTCGATTTATGACTTTGCTTTTTTATAGTGATGGTACCTGACTCCTTTTACACCTTGCCAAGTGGTGATGAACATCATCTTGCCAGGAAGTAAGCGCTCCAGCTCTTGATATTACTTGGTTAATATTTCTGTGACGACGTGTTATGTTCAAATTCTGCTCGTTGCAGTCAATGCATATTTCAACTAATTTTACCAAACTGGCAGTTAGTTTCCACAAAAATTAATATCTACATTATGGCTATCCTAAGGTGTCTGACCATCATTTATTAAGTTTAAATAATTCGCTTAAAACGTGTCCATGTATGTCAATATAAGCACTGTTTTAACGATTCTTTGCTGAAACTAATATTGACGGTACAGTACTGGCGATATTTTATAAACGATCACTAAAGTTATGAAATGTACTATACGACTGGTATAAACACATTGCAAAACAGTATGGGAGGTATTACGGACATAAGCTATTATGCCATTACGTCACTTGCAGTTATTTAAAAAGTCCATAATTAATCAGATTCTTAATGGGTAGTTAGCCTTTGTTAAGCTTTTGGCTTTAGCACTGGAGTTTGTGTCATCTATAAATAATTGTTTCGGATCTGGGTGCTTGGGAACAAAAAGGGTTGTCATCAGGCAGGCGGTCGTAAAAAGCCGAGGAATTACTACTAAGAACTGTTGGGTCGTCCTGCCCTTAGGGCTGGAGGACGATGAAGGTGACTTAATCAGTGTATTCATGCAACGGTTTCTACCGATGCATCATTAGGTCGACGTGTTCGAGAAAATATTACAGCTCTGCAGAAAACCGGCGGAAAGTAGAAGAACCTGAGATTGTGTTTTCAGTTATGTATTTTGCATGGTTTACCATTTTTAAGGTAGGAGTAGGTAGCCAAGAGAAATCTAATAACAAGTGTGTCGAGGATGTTGTGACAGAAGTTTAATTACTACCGCTCATAGACATTGACTGCGGAGATAATCACGCGCTTGCTTGTGGACAACCTTCTATTAAAATGGTTCTAAATAAATAATACTTGATGAAGAGAAACAAATCTACTGTAATTATCTAAATCAAAAAAGAAAAAAGAAAACAAATTAGGAAACGAGTGGTGGTCTTTCGTTAACTCTGAAATTTTCGAATATATAAAAAGTACTCGTATTTCGTGTATTTTCTCTTGTGTTATCGAAGAACTTTTTTCGGGACATAAACAAGTTTAAGTTCTATTATGACATTGAATCTATTTGATTCATGTCCGACTAGGCATACGCTAGTCATTTGTTTGCCCGTACAATAATTAAAACTGATGATAAGATTTTAACAATTGATCAATCTATTAACAGACAATACTTATGTAAAACCTTACACGCATTTCACAGTGAGTATCTACAATAAAATTGAAGCGAGTTTTTTTAATTCGATTTATATTTCGTACGCTGTAGGGCTGTATTTTATCACGTCTTATCGAACGACTGACGCAGAGTTAAATCCACGGTCATGGCCAAACCACGACTGACAATAATGACAGCTAAGTCCTTCGATTGGAGGAATTTAGTTCGATTAGTCTTGGAGGGTTGTAGTACAGTTGCGAAGTTATACTATATCTTTCAGTAAATTCTTTTGAATATAATTTTTTATTTAAGAGGCTTTTTTAAAGCTTCATTGGCTGCTAAAGTTTTATGTATTTTATTAGTTCCATAGTTCCCACTAATGTATTTACTCAGTAGGTAAAATTCCACGCAACTAAAATTAGGAGTGATAAGCAGCCAGGTAATAAAACATTTGGGTAATAGGGCTCGACCAAAATGAAAAAAAAAAAAAAAACAATATTTCTGTAGTTAAAACTCCTGCTTTTTATGTGAAAATGCCACCAAGTAGAGATTCACCAGTAAATAAATATAAAGTGAAGATGCCAAATAAAATCTTTTCAATTATATAATAAGACTTTTACTATGGTAGATTCATGCAGCAGCTTCTGAAGTTGCAGGAAGTACCACGGCATCAGAAAGCTAATTCTAAAGTGAAAGTTTTTGTAATTTTGCTTTTCGTCTGGTGATCGAGCTAACCCGGCCCCTTAATAAATGGAAACAGAAATGCCTCGTTCGGTTGATGCTGATGTCCATGGGTGGTGGTGTTTACTCAACATCACCAGGTTTACGTGACCAGTTTTTGGTCACATATATCTGGTGATGTTATGCCTCCTCGACATCCTACTACCTACTCGACAAGACGGTAGTAATTTGTCATTTGGATCCTCTGATGCTTTTAAGGTACATCGATCATACCGCGTATCGCCATAATGTAAAAAAAAAACACGGTGGATGAGGTAACGTGATTGCCAGAATTCCGTAGTGTGCTGTACGTGTACGCCGTCCGCAAAATTCATCGAAACGACAATTTGTTGTGTAGTTGCGCATCATTACTTTAAAAAACTAAAAGCACATATACGTAATAGATATAAACTAAATTGGGATGACCGCAAATGACGTTATTTTTATGCGCAATGACGTAATACGATGTAAAATGACGTGGATAAAAACTATCGCAAGACGATGTTTATATTTTTATTCTGATTGGTGACGATATTGCCATTTAGGGATCCCACAAGTACGTTCCTTACATGCGTAAATGTTGAACATGTTTTTATTTGGCATTTATGATAATTACAACATGCTCACAACCGTGTAAGAAGCGTCAGATATAATATATTTTCCGATATTAAACATCTATCAAAAGAATTATAAGATAGTTTACTAGGTTAATCTCTTTTCGTGAATTATTTCTATATTAATTTTCTTAGGTACTATTTTATATGTTTAAAGTAATTTTAGTTAAGTTACGTAATATTGCCAATTTGGGATTACAAAATACTTTCATTCATTTTTGATTTACAAAAGTAGTAATCTCGAAAAAAATTATAATTATTTATTCGCATAATGTTAACTTTCTGCGGGAGTGATTTTAAGCTGTATGAGAGCCCACGTAACATTTTGTATCGAATATTGAGATTTTCTTACCTCCTAGGATGTAGGAGTTATGAAAGTAACGTTATATAAAAAGTTTACATAGTACATAATACATTTATAACATTTTTCATTCGCTATTATAAAGAGCACATTGTTATTCATTACGGTTTCGGTTTGTATGTTATGGTAACAGTCACTTTGAATATGTTTCTTTTGTTTTGCAGATACGTTCTGGGAACAAAATGCACAACGGAATTTAAAGAAACTTGCGTTTGAAGAATACATTTATTCAATATCTAGCCATGTCAAATGCTGAGAGTCTCGTTGACAAAAACATGAACAAAACTGGCATTGAGAATCAAAAGGTAAAAACGACTTGTTTATTAATCTGATGTATATGTGCCAACAAAAACTTGTAGGGTAATTATTGAATCATGTTTTGTTTAAATAGCCAGCAGTCTACATATAGCCTGCTATGACTGGCTACTTAAACTAGTTACCTAACTAATAATTTCAGAGATAATAATCCATGTATCACGATTTGTATTTATTTTGTTTCATTTACATCATTCAATTTATTAAGGTGACAAATTAGAAAAGATAGTAATATCCGTGTTTTCAAAGAGCTATTAACAATTTGTGGTTACGTTATAACGGTTACGTTTTCCATTAAAATATTAGGAATATTACGTAATTACAGTGTCTAAAAAGATTGAAATGCTTTGGTAGAGCATCACAGACCACAGTGTATTCTGATGTTGGGTTAGGTTAGGATGGAGAATGGATCTGCTTCTCAAGAAGTTCCAAGTTTCCACTATTATCAGAGTAAAGTAAAGTATCAAGCTATACATGTTCCACTGCTGGGAAAATACCTTTCTGTACAGAGAGTATTAGAGCAAAGTCTATAATGCAACTCCACTATCGTAGAGTTCAAAAACTTTTGACCTACTTTTCAAAAACTTTTGACTTGTGCGCCACATGCGTTACACCCAGTGAATAAAGTGAGAGGATGTTCAATCACTGTCACCTTCATCCCGCCTAGATGTATTGTATGTCCATGAAAAATTTGTTACCATCGTATAATAACAATAATGTAATGAATAAACATACAAAAAAGTCGAAGGTTTTAAGTGACAGTATGAATTTTAAGTGGCACTTTTGTTAAATAATTTGTTACTCTTTTTCACATATTATAAACAACATATTATAATATCATGTACATTAAGTTGTTTAGGAAACAAACAAAATAATTTAATTTTAGTACATTCATACATTTTTGCACATGTATTATATCATATAGGTACAAAATAATATTTGCATGACAACGACGTGGTATCGTCTCTAGGTCTTCCGGTCTGAAATGACTAATTAAATATATAAGTTCCTTATTTATACATATTACGGTGGAAGGTCCACGCAGCAGCCTCGGCTGTTGCACGAATGGGCAGGCTCGTCCGGGTAAGTACCACGACCTCACAGAAGACCGGCGTAAAGTAAACAACAAATACTTTCGCGTTTCGTCGGGTAAGTGCAACGCATCTGTAACCCTCGGGTGTAGCAGATGTCCATGGGCGGCAGTATTCACTTAACATCAGGTGAACCGTCTGCTCCTTTGGCAACTTTTCATACATAAAAAAATATTATTTCTTAAAGGTTTATTTTTGTAGATACGACATGACTGCAATGCATGGGAAACTAGTGTAACTCGATTATTGTATATGATACCTAGCTTTCATTAAATATAAGTATACGATATATGGGGTTAAACCGAATTAATTTACCTATTTTCAAAGATCATTAAACTCCAAATCTCATCATTATTAAAACTTCTGCAAAACTTGAGTAATATAATTACACAACAACCTCGGGTTTCTGAAAAGTGAAATTTTTATAATATTTCCTCTTCATATAAGTACTTCTGGGATTGATTATATTTTCTTCGCTTCCGTTTATCGATATCATTGTTGTTTTCGACTTGATTGTATCTGTATATAATTATGTATTTGAGCGTCAGTCGTGCGAGTTCAACCTTTTTTCCCCATCCCAAAAACACCCAAAGTCCCAAAAAATTTAACTTAAATATTTCTTAAATTACATTTTCTTTGTGATGATTTTCCATTTCTGTTAATATTGTTATTAGCTTAATACAGCTTTTATAAATAATATTACCTAAAATAGCAATGGATAATGCAAACAGTTATACATTTTTTATTTATTTTCACACAGTGTTAACGTTACATGAAAATAGCATTAAAAACAGTATGTTAAATAAAAGACAAGGTGTGTCTAAAGTTTTAATTTCTTTTAAGTAATAACTTTTTTGAACATTATTCAATTTATTTGGGATTTATATTTACATTATAGAGTTTAACAAAAGACAACATGTTCCATGTTGGATTATTATATATTAAGACTTTAAGTTTATTTATTTATCTTAAATTGTTTGACCTGGCTCCGGACGGATTGACATTGTAAGGTCAGAAAATGGTGTTGACATGTAACAAATAGCGTACATTTAGCAACCGCCATATTTTGCAACTATTTGACAATATCATGGTAACTGTGAAGAAAGATGCTACAACCTTTGTATACAAATGGTTTTGAAGAAAGGGTGTCTTTACTGTGCTTACTAGGTTATATATTCTCAGATGTAAATGTTAATAAAAATAATGATATGTTTTTAAATGCCTAGTACATTAGTATCTCTTTTTTCATTTTATGATTAATGCATCTACTTAAAATTTTTGGACCACCCAAGGGTTCACTGCTAGATAGTGCTGATCTCATTAAGTCCGCCTCTGTACAGTATAAAGCACATATAAATGAATAAATAAAAATAAATATATTTCATTTAGATAGTGAGTATTATTACGTTTCATCAATAATCACGTCGGAAAATAGTTAGGTACCTGTTTTAAATTTTAGCACGGCTTACGACAGCTTCCCCGCCTGTCACGCTTTCTGACATTGTGATACAATTTAACCAAATTGTATTAGAAGTTTAATACTATTAAAGTTACACAAACATTGATCCGATAAGCATTGATTTCACCGTTCGTTAAACACAATAAATACAAATATCCATCAATTACGTTGATGAATCATTGTGTGATTAAGGTGCTTTGTTATTGTTACTGCATACTAAAATTATTTAAGCGGTATCAGCATTAATCTAAAAATAAAAAATTAAAAAAAATATGTTCAGAAACACGCGAAACGTCCAAAACTTAAAGAATAATATAGTATCTACAATAATTAACTAAGATCGTAATGAATAGAAGTGGTGTATATTTTTTTCTTATTTCAAGATATATAACACTTCATATTCGGGAAGGTAGGGAAAACCCTAATGATCCATCCAATGACACGGAAAATATTTGCAAAATACATAAGAACCAGGAGAGGCCGTCTTGTAGACCAACCGTGCGTAGAGAAATTCAAATACCTATGAGTCACCTTCAACCCCACATTGAAATTCGTTACGCACTTTAGTAAAATATATATAAACGGGACAAAGCCGCGTTCGATTCGGGCAGTTTGTATAACTTACTGTTTTACAAGGTATGTGTACAACTCATAATGTCTTACACTTCTATGTCATTAGCTTATGTAAGCTTCACAAATCTGCATAAATTGTAGGTGATTCAAACGGTTTTATTCCATTGGAACATAGTCCGTACCGAACCTCGATGGTCCGTAGGTGACATTCCTACCACATTACTGTATTTGGCCCTACCCTACTTGCAAGCTCAAAGGTCATCGTAAGCTCATGGGTTGCCCACGTCTTCTGCGTTCGAAGCTTTGATAAAATCTACAGATTGAAATAGAAACATCAGTTAAAGTAAAATTGAAGAAGTCTTACAACATTTTTTTTTCATTTTATATTAAAGTTGGTTCAGATAAAATTTAATACGGATCCTATTGTACGTGAGTCCTTCGATGTCTTATGAATAAACACAACTTAAAAGTGATGAAAGAGTTTTATTAATCAAAAGCATAGACAGCGCAAGCTGGTTCCCAAAACTAAATCCCTTTATTTTTGCGCAAATCCAACTATTTTTCTATGGTGCTTTTTTATGTGAAAAGGCGGCAAGCGACCTAGCGGTTCACCTTATGCTAAGTAATAACCGCTGCCTGTGGGGTTGCAGATATGTTATTACCGCTTGACAAAAATGGCTCGGATATGTTACCTCTTGGCAAAATGACCAGACGAAACGAAAACTGTGGCCGTGGTATTTCCCCAGACGAGCGTGTCCATTCTTGCAACGGCAGAGATTGCTGCATGGCTATGTAACATTTAAATGATATTTACTCGTTTATTTTGTGATTGCGGCTTCACTAACAACTGAGTCAATAAAATTAGTCATACTGTTTTCTTAATATCACCAATAAAAAACCTTTAATTATATCTAAAAATGACGTTATATTTAAATGAATGTTCACATATTAAAGATCATTAAAATTACATTAGTGTTTTTCCGTCAACTACACAATGCACGTCATAAAACTCGAAGGCTCTCAAATTTTCCTTGAAAAACGCCTATTTAACGGCACGCTACATTTAATGTAGGCTGAGACATTATTTTTTGGAGTTGTATGCGATGTTTGTCTTAATCTACGTATGAATGGTACCAAAAGCGAGACAACGCCACTGTGTCACGTTATCTAATCTTATATTTAAACCGATTGACGGGGACGATTCGCCAGCGTTTCAACGCCAGTTGTTTTACAATATATTAAATACAGTTCATTGTTATGTATCGAAACAGATGAAACAAAAGGACGGGGACGTGGAAAAAGGCCAAAGACAAATTTCAGTATCTAGTGTGCCGTGGAGTAAGGTTGTTGTGATGGTTTTGGCAATGGGTGTCCTGATCGCAGCGTGCTCTATAGCGTGGGCCTTTCAAGACTGGCAGACGAGTCTCCAAGTCCTCGCTATTCTCGTCATTGTTTACGTCATTGCGTTCTATTGGAGATGGATATGGGTAGCTTTGAGAACGGCGAAGAGGGACTTTTCGTAAGTAATGTTTCTATTTGTCTAATTAAATACAATCTAATTACCTACTGCACATGTCGTTGAGCACACCTTGAATATCTTTCATTGCATTTTCAGAGCTTTATACTGCTACATTAAAATTTTATGGCTGACGAGGTCATTTTCGAAGAAGAATTATTCAATGCCAGAAATATTTCATAATGTTGTCTTGCGGCATCCAGACAAGCCGTGTTTTCTCTTTGAAGACGAGAGTTGGACTTTTAAACAGGTGAAAAGTTTATAATTGCATCAAATGTTAGCGCATCTTTGTAGATTCATACTAACTTACTGTTATTTATAAAGTCATGATTATGATATTGAGAAAGAATATTATCTTATCGTTAATTTCCTAATATATTGGTTTATTAATAACGTATAAAGTGGACGCGTTTAAGAACCACGCAATTGTCAATAGAGTATATGTAAAGGATAATTTTTGTGTATTAGTCTGTAACTCTGCATTCAATATTAGACTAAAAATTTGAAAATACGTGAGTACTTCTATATTACGTCCGTAAGAAGTTATACTTATTTAGCGTCACAAAATAAAAATTACAAAAAAATATTTTTCGTTTTGAATATTTTGAGGTTTTGACATGTTATTGACGTAAGATATTACTAAATTTATCGACTCACTTCATATTGTTAATATGTAGGCGCTGTGCATGCAAAAAACATTTTTAGTTACAAGAGACAAATCCACATCTAACAAAAATCTTATTATACATTTTCTATTTGATTTTGAGGAGTTCCCTGATGTATCTCAGGAGTCCATGGTCACACCAAAAATTATTGTGTGACCATGGGAGTTTCACCGAACAAGACATAAAAGATTTCATCGAACCCCTTGCATTGCAGATTGAGGATTTCAGTTTGAGAGTGTCAGCGGTGTTAAAATCTAAGGGCGTGAAGCGCGGAGACACTGTCGCCGTGATGGCAAGCAACTATCCCGAGATGCCAGCCATTTGGCTCGGGGCGGCGCGCCTTGGGGCCGTCTGCCCCCTCATCAACACCAACCAGACCGGCAACACTCTGCTGCACTCCATCAACGTTGCGAAGTGTGACTTCGTCATCTACGGGAGCGAATTCGATCATGGTACGTGTGAATCGTGTAATTCATTTGAGCACCTGATGTTGATTGCTTTTAGACATTTGAAATAAAAAAAAAAACTTAGCCATTGATCAATGGCTGGAGTGAATATTTTTCAGTAATTTTTGCTTTCATTTTCGCCAAGTCGTTTTTGCTAACAAAAAAGGTTTTAAAAATAATTCCGAATTTTGGTATTCAATCAGAATCGTGTCATAAACATTGGAAGTAAACATTACTCAATGTTTAGCGGCAGCCGTTGAGTTGCGTACATGTGGGGTCAAAGGACTGCATTAGCGTATTCATTAGTTCAATGTACAAAGATCCCGCACTTTGTATGAGGTATTAAATGTTGCGTGGAATAACTTGATGGTAATGCACTTAAGAGAGTTATTTTAAAAAATCTAACAGGTCATTACTTTTATATTTTTTAAGATAAAAGTTTAAATTTACCTTATTTAATACGACTAATAAATTATGTATTGTCGTCACCTATATTATTAATTATTATTTATTGAAATATTTTAAGTTCCACTTTTGCGGAAATCTTTTTATTTGCCGTGTCCCTGAAACATATTCATACTACTTTATTTCCATTAACAACTACATGACAGTTATGTGAAGAACAATCCCTTCTATTTTAAATGTCATTTCCAGGGACAGATATGTTTTTTATCAGTTTTTATTTTGTTATACTTATTTAGCGTAGGTCGAAATTGTTTTAGCAAAAACCGGCTATAAATAGATGAAAGTATTAAGTTTTATTTTCTTAAATTAAATTTTTCATAGAAAGTTATTTATCTTTTTTGTGGCCCATATAAAGTCTTACCAAACATACGCCATAGATTCGTGCCTGAGTAGTTAGTTCCAGAAGATTTCCCTTTTTAAGTAGATGTTAGCAAGTATAGCCACATTAGGAAACTAGGTACTAGTAGTTAAATTGTTATAATAGAACGATTATTTTTAATTTTAAAATGAATGTATTGACTATGGAATATCTTCTTTAACAATCTCACATCAATTTGAATATATATCGTAAACCTGTTTAAGGTAAAGCATAAAATAAACTGATCAACAACCAAGTTTTTATATCTTTCCAGCTATCCAGGAAGTGAGAAAAGAATTAAAATCATCCCTAAAGCTATTGAAGTTCACCCGGCGTCCATTAAATCTGTCAGCAGACTCTGTGAAAGTTGTAGATAGCGATGAAGATTTCACGGCTATTTTGGAGAATACTTCTCCGGCTGCATGGAGTCCGTCCGACAGTGAAGGTTTCAACGGGAAACTGTTATATATCTACACTTCCGGGACGACTGGGCTTCCGAAAGCTGCTGTTATTTCCCCATCGAGGTAATTTTTTTCTTTTTAAATGAATTTCATAATTTAATATATATTTATACTCGTTGTTATTAATTAAACAAAAACGGCGACCGAGTTAATAAATAATTAATGTGTCGCGGGAGATTTCACAAAAAAAATCACGGATACAAAGTACATCCACATTCGTAACAATTTTATGGAGCGATGATTGTACTGAATATAACTGCAATATAATACCCTGAATTTGATTTCAGAATGGTGTTCATGGCTTCAGGGGTTCATTATTTGGGCGGATTGTCGCCGAAAGACGTGATCTATTGTCCAATGCCACTGTATCACTCCGCAGGTGGTTGCATCACTGTGGGTCAAGCCTTCATTTTCGGCTGCACGGTAGCTCTCAGGACTAAGTTCTCAGCCTCCGCCTACTTCACTGACTGCATTAAATTCAATGCAACGGTCAGTATTACCGTAAACAAACCATATTTTAGATTTCGAAAAGCACTTTAAAAGCAATCACACCATATTGTTTGTATGTCATGTTTGAATAAAGCGCATGAATATTTAACAAGATAAAAATAAAGTAAAGATTATTTTTGAAAAGTAAAAACCCGTCTACATTTACGTTAGGCACTCATCCTTCAAATCATTCGCTTATTCTTCGAATTATTAAAATCCGTCAAACCTTTGTGCTCGAAAGATATTTCCCACCTACGGAAATCGGGTAAAACAGTACATAATTATCTTGATTTAAATTTTAGGCGGCTCACTACATCGGCGAAATGTGTCGCTACTTACTGGCAACCCCATCGAAACCAACAGATAAACAACACAAAGTGCGCACAGTTTACGGCAACGGAATGAGACCTACTGTAAGTATTGTTACCAATTTTATAATTAGGCAGTCGAAATTTGCTGCAGTCCAACGACTCGTTATGTTAAAAAAGTAAAAATAAACAAACAAAGTAGATAAGACGTCGATATTTTGGCACGGTGAGTATATCGACAGCATATTAGTGGCGAGAGCGTCTGGACATTAATCCGGAAGGCGCAGGTTCTAATCCCGGTAGAATTTGTCTCAAATAGAGTACCCCGCCTTATTTTCAAAGCCCCCAAAAATATCTTGTACTCGCAATGTAAAATAACTTGAAAACGTCAAGTTTAGGTGTCGTAATTAAAAAGAGATGTAGTTTTAAAAATGCACATAATTTTATGTCCTTTTATTCTCGTTTCAAGTGTGAAGTACGAAATGAAGCTTAAGAGCTGTATTAATATGTAATAACTTTTAATAGTGTAAACAGGTTTAATTAAAAAAAAAACACAATTTCATTATATCAGTTCTTTAAACAATTTATTTTTTAATATTTTTAGGTGTGGACAGATTTTGTTAACAGATTTGGAATAAAGAGAGTCGTTGAATTTTACGGAGCTACCGAAGGGAACGCAAATATAGGTAAATTTTAACTTTATTTCTTGCATAAAATGAACTCTAATTTCCAGCTTATATCGATAACTAGAGTAACAATAAACACACACTACCTCTGTCATCTTAAGAATGAAAGATCTGATATGAGGATATAATTTGTTGTTGTTAACGTCACTGTCATATCTAGGTTTACGTATTCGTGCCAGGAATTTAAAATGTAAAATATTGTTTAAAGTGCACATTCCAAATATTTTTTCAGTAAACATTGACAACAAAACTGGAGCCATAGGTTTCATATCGAGAATAATTCCTGCTGTTTACCCGATCGCGATAATCAAAGTAGACGAAAACACCGGCGAACCTATACGAGACTCCCGAGGATTGTGTCAGGTATAGTAGGTACTTTAATATAGAAATGAGTTAAAATATATAATTTTATAAACATACTAGCTGAAACGGCTGTGTTAACTTTCGTTGGAATTTCAGAATAAAATATATGTAAAAACATTTTCCTTTTAAATAGCTATGTGCAAAAACGAATACAATCCATCGGGTAGTCTTTAAGTTTTGTGGACACGAATATACGGAAGGTAAATTTTTATATAATTATATATAAAAAAGACGATCATCCGATAACTACCCGATCGGCGTAGTGGATAGTGAACCTGTATCTTGCGTCAAAGTGTGTAGGTTTGAACCCACTACTAGAAAACCATTGTGTAAATAATTTTTCTAGTGTCCCAGACACTAGAAAAATTGTTTATCATATCTATAATATGTATTTATTTACAACAGAAAACATACTTGAAGAGGCTTTTAAGCACTTATGTTTGTCAGTTACCTAGTATCCATTTCAGTACAGGTTTTTATTAGTTTGGGACTAGATAACATTGTGTAAAACTATGTCCTAAAAATTTCCTGAAAAGAAACTAAATTGAGAATGAACATCCGCTCTAAACTTTACTTGGCTTCCTTTCTCCAGATGATTGATTTGCCTATGGCTTAGACCTTCTTCTATTTAATCGCATCATGCCTTTGCTGACCTCTCTTATAGTATTTTTTGCGACATATGATCGGTAATAATTATGTGTACGCTCGTTTTTTCAATGTCCACTTAAGCGCTATTATTTAATTTATCTTACTTTCATTATCGGTTCGCTGAATGTATGTTAAACATAAAACAAATGTTATATATACTCATTAGTGTGAAATATGAACAAACCATTACAATTGGCGATCCAGCCTCGAGTTCGTAAACAACAACTAGGAGTATTACGGACGTATTTCTGTTTTAAGGTGGCGAAGGCAAACGAACCGGGCGTGTTCATTGGTAAAATAAATCCAAGTAATCCTTCAAGAGCTTTCCTTGGCTACGTAGATAAGCAAGCTTCTGAAAAGAAAATAGTCAGAGACGTCTTTAGGCATGGTGATTCTGCATTTATTTCGGGTACGTATAAATGAATAGAATTTCAATATTAGTTTTATTAACAACATTAACGCTGTCGCACGAACGGCGGTCAGGTCCGTCCGGGGAAGTACCAAGACTTCATAGAAGACCGATGTGAAGTGGAAGATATACTTCTGCGTTTCCTCTGGTGAGCGGGCGAGCGGCCGACATTATTAAAAGGCGGCATAACATCTGCAACCCTACGGGTGTTGCAAATACGCCCATGGGCAGCGGTTATCACTTAACATCAGGTGAACCGCCAACTCGTTTGTTGTTATCTTACACAATTTATTTTTTATTATTTTATTGTAGTGCTAGTTTTGCAGGTTACTGTTCTCCTTAAAGGAAGTCTTTTATTCGATATTGTGTTTACCTTTAATTTAAATGCATATACAGCGTGTCTTTACAACCGCGACAATAAATGAACACATGTCTAATAATCATAAAACTTACCTTACTTAACTTAACTTAAATAATCGCTACTTACCAATAATCATAAAAAAATATAAAACGTTAAAAAATCCATAAATAAGTAAATAAAAAAGAAACAAAATTTGTAACACCTATACATCTACAACTGACTGATTCATACATTCAGAGACGTTTTCATTCGTTGCCACAACATCACATTACAAGCCTCTCCTTTTTTATCACTTTTAAATTCATTCAACCCATTATATGCTGTCTGATCTTTACAAATGAACTTTACGTTACAGTTTTATACGTAAGGATGTTCTAAAAATGTTTGTTTTGTAAAATTTAATAACTTTGTAAATATTGATGTCTAAAGAATGTAAATGCTTAAAACAATTTTAAAAAGTTATCCTCTATATGTGTATTTATTTATTGTCGCGGTTGTAACGACGCGCTGTATACAATGATCATTTTTAAGTGCATCACATCAGAATAATAATTGTTTCTATATGTATTTAGTTGGTAAGCCTTGTTAAATAAATAAAAATTAATTAATTAAAATTAATCATGTAACCGTATAATTTAGGATATATTCGTTATAGTTTTTAGTAGTGTACAATTTATATTTCGCACCCTGCGTAGAACAACGTGACATCTGCAAAATTGTAATTGTTCAGGACGGCCGATTCAAAGTATTATTTTTTTATTTTGGTTATAGTTTTTTTATACATAGCAGTTGCTATTCCAATTTTTGAGGTTTGTGATATAATTAGGTATATTAACAAACAGTATACTTTTTGAATTAATAATTATATAAATTTAGGAAATAAGAGGTTTCATGTGTAATAGTGACGTTTTCCTACGGAAAATGGCAATCACTAATGGGTCACAAGATCACATAAACACGTTTATATAACGTTGTTCAACGGAACATTTCAAAAATAATGGGTCACACGTTCATTTATAACGTTGTTCTACTAAAGAATCAGAAAATATGTATGATACAAACGCATGTAGCACTGTTTTCAACGAAAAAACCATAAAAAGTGAGTGACTGTGTACTAATTATCAATTGACTCTAATAGAGTATTTTACACTCGTCTATTACATAAGTAAGCTTAGTCTAGTCAGTACAAAAAACAGTGCCTAAACGAACATATGTACCCTATAACCTTGTACTGCGGAGCAAAAATCAGATGGAACGTTGTTCTATTCTGAATCTCAAAATCTATAAGTCAGACGAAAAAAAAATTAATATCATCTGACAATAATTAAGACAATAATTAAGACTTTCCGATGATAAAATCAAATTCGTTCTATGTGACCACAGAACGTTATTCTACACACTGTGCGATTTAGCCTCATAGCTGGCAGCAGAAAGTTAGAGGAAAATAGTGACGGATACCAATACAGTATCATGTTATAAATTGCCTAAATATGCTGCGAAATGATGCCACACAAGGGATTGTTCGCAAAATATCGGTTCACAAAATGTGTTATATATATATCTTATATTTTTTTTTTCAGGAGATATTCTTATAGCTGACGAACTTGGCTACCTGTACTTCCGAGACCGAACTGGTGACACATTCAGATGGCGCGGTGAGAACGTCAGCACCACTGAAGTAGAGGCCGCCATATCAAGGGTCGCCGATCAACGAGACGCTGTCGTGTATGGAGTTGAGGTGAAATATTTTGTTATATTAACCATTAAAAGTCATAAAACCACTTATTAAAGTTCTAGAAAATCTCAGGCTAGAAGTAAAATTCATTTTATTAAGTGTACGGAAAATTATTTGTCAATAATAATTACGTTTCAGAAGTTCAAAAGAAGTTAAGTCTTACACAATCATTAACAGTGACAAGAAAATAGAAGACATGAAAGTTTTTTATGCCAAATTTTTGTCCTGAAAGAAACTGTATTCATAACTAGGTAATAACTATGATTAAATATATTTCTCGTTCTTCCGACATATTTAGATTCCAAACACGGAAGGTCGAGCAGGCATGTGCGGTATAGTTGATATCAACGACAGTCTAGATCTGGATAAGCTTGTTAAGGATATGGGAAGGGATTTACCAAAATATGCCCGACCTGTCTTCCTGCGCATCATGACGAGCCTAGATATGACAGGTAATTCATGGCTTATTTATTTACTTTTTGTCTTTTCTTGTCTCTGGGAATACTATAGGGATTTAACGACGCTGATGGGTGAACGGTGACCCATATGATACCAATGACTTGTAAACCAATCGATACGATTCGATACAGATAATTCGATAATGATAATGAAAAGGTCGCGAATTTTACCTTAACTTCTAAAACCTATTAGCCCTTGTTTTACGAGGATTGCGCTGAACAAACGGACGTATCCACAAAACATTTCTGCTGAATAACACATCATTATCACCATTTCGGGTTACGGATATTATTACGTCATACCTCAATCTGACATTTTTATGTCATATCTAATGATTAAATGATATACAAAATTTACTGCAACTTTCATCGCTAAATGTATTCATGCTTAGATGTATTTCAGGAACCTTCAAATTAAAGAAAGTGGATTTGCAAAAAGAGGGTTTTGATCCAATTTTAATAAAAGACAAGATCTACTACTTAGAACCTAAGTCGGAGAAATATATAACTTTAGGCCCTGAGGAATATCAGAAAATTATGGCAGGAGAAATAAGACTGTGATTTAAGTTAAGATGTAAAACAAAATTAATTATTTTAAAAATTATTTAAAAACTTAATATGTATAAGGTTAATTAAATTAGATAATGATAAGTTTAAACTTCTGTTGGCTTGTAAATATAAAAAGATCAAAAATGTCTAAAACATTTTTGAAACGGTTCTATGAAAAAAATAATTATGATTTTTTGTAAAAAATATCTATGATAGATATAAAAAACTAGGAATATTAAGTTATTTTTTTATGAATCTTTCCGGTGACATTGTTTCCTATATTTTAAAATAAAACGTTTTTTAAATTATTTGTTTCATTAATTTCGTTGTTTCCTTTTAATAAAACTGTAAAGTAAAGTAAAAGTAGTTTTTTTATATAGAAATGTATGGATGGGTAGGCGATTCACATGATTACGTTACCTAGTTACGTTACTCATCAGATGAAACGTAAAAATTTAATATTACCAATTACTACCTTACCCATTCCTATACCCAATCGAGTAATAGCAAATTGAATCTTAGCAAGAAACTGATACGTGGCCCTTGTAGAGTTTTAAGAGATTTATAGTAAGCGTCAAATAAATGTCCGGTTCTTAAATAGCAGTGAGCCGCTGCGAACAATACAAATAATTATGTATAGACTAGCGACCCGCCCCGGCTTCGCGGGGGTGCAATGTATTATACATATAAACCTTAATCTTGAAAAGTCTTAGAGTGACTATTTAGTATAAAAAAACCGCATCAAGATCCGTTGCATAGTTTTAAAGATCTAAGCATATATAGAGACAGACAGACAGCGAGACGACTTTGTATTCTACTATGTAATGATATATGAAGGGTAAGTTGTGCGGACGGGGGCCACATCCCAGTCGTTACAATGCCCGGCTCTTTGGGGGAGTGTACACGACTCCACTGGTGAATCTCTCTCCAACGTGTTTATTATTGCTGATTTTGCCGTATTATGGGCACAAAGGAGAAAAAAATTTCTGTTTCATCGTTTTTATTGTTGTTACTTTGCTCTTGTTTATTATGTATTTTTTTTTACTAAAATACTCGGAAAATTTATTCTAAAATACTTTTGGCACTACATTATTCAAAACTGCGTCTCCCGGCTTCGTGCCCAGACGCTTTACCAACTAAGCTAACCGGCTGATGAAAACATCAGAGGAAAAATCTTGTCATTTGTCTACAAAAATTTACAATTTAAAGTCATAATATAATTTTATTTCACTGTCAATTTAAATGAAGTGATTAAATTAAAACCAATTGCAAAATAATAGTAATTATGCCTGCTCGATTCTGATCCGCAATAACATTATAAAACATACATTTAAGGTTCAAAGTCGGGTGATTATCACAATGCAATATAAACCAACTGTACCGAACCATATTGACGTTTTTTCTAAATGGTTAAATAATCAGCTTATATCAAATTTTACCACATAGTTCGGTTGTACGTTTGGATAGCGCGTTTCACTAACTAGCATCCAACAGCAACTGAAAAAAATCTGAGAATTACTATTTGGCATACTGAAAAAAAAAGGAATATAACTAACTTGTTAAAAACAGTTCTATATAAAATAATAAAGCACGCAAAGAAAGACGTAAACGTTATAAAATAGATACAATTTTAGAAGATATTGGACACAAAAAAAATACCACGTAGCATACTATTCAATGTGAATCAAGTAAATAAAGGCAAAATGTAAATCAGCTCTATACAATAAAATTAAAACCAATACCAGCCTTCCAATTTAATTGTTGACTAAATGAGTGTAACATAGAAGTTGTAGTCACAAACGATATTTGCGATAGTGGATCACAATCGTCAGATACACTCAAAGAGGAGCAGTAACATACTGATGATTCATCTGCCGAAGCGCCACTAAGCACAAGTCGTGGGACTTTAGAATATTTTAAAAGGGTAGTTAGTGCCCATGGATACTGATTCAGAGGACTAAACGTTTTGTAAATATTTATTACATAATTGTTAGTATGTATTTGTTATGTAATTTTTTTTACTATTAAGTTTATACAACCTACTCAATGGTGTATGAAACTCGACCACATTAAATCAGTACAAGTCTGGTGGCCAATATGTCCCTCCAAACATATTGGACTAAATCCGGCAAATATATTAAAATTCATTAATACCATTCATTAATTCATTATTACCTCTGACAAAGATTTAGTAGACTCTGAAAGACTCAATAAAAATAAGTAGAAAGAATAATCCAAAAAGCAATTACAAAAGCAAAAAGCAAACCCTATGGAAGCCCCTGGCTCATTACAACAAAGTTTTACAGAAACCACCGGAATCGGGTATAACTGTTAACTTATAATTCTTAAAATACTTTAAAGTTCTGAACGTATGTGTAGTACGTTGAAATCGTATGTGTAGAGATGCAAAGATACGCTATTTCAACGATTCTCTCAATAGTTGAAGCTCGTCTGATGTTTGGAAATTACTAAAATCTAATGGTATAGGGAAGCAAATTAACGATCTTAACAAATATTTCACTGAATCTTCCCCAATCTTATATCCATGTGTCACATCCTTAACACTGCGCTTATTGCCGGACTTATCGAGGCCATCTTCCACCTCTTTTAATTTTATCTATGAGAGGAGTGCCTTTGAAAGATCTATAGTAGCCATTTCTTCATCTTCAGTTGGCAGTGATAATATGATCCAATTTGATTTCCGGTCCAGTCAATGTGACTGCTTTCTTTAGTACTTTTAGACTTTTACTGCTTTCTTTAGTTGTTAAATTGTGGCTTCAAGTCCGCTCGTCCTCGTACCGTGCATTTGAGACGGCGTCGTCCTTCGATCCTTTTAAACGATTCCGACAACGATAGACGCGTTAAACAATTTAATTCTACCTTCACCTTTCGTTAGCGCGTCACCGTAAATTATCATTACTCTCCAGTTCCAGGTCGCTCGTGAATCGCTTATGACGTGTTGTTTTTGTAATTTAATTTAAGCTTACGCATTGCTGTAGGAATCCGTCTGGGGGCACCGATTTGTCAACCACACCAATGCCCTTGTGGTGCCAGTGTAGACAAATTTGGTCTCCACGGGCTTTCTTGTCAAAAAAGTGCTGGCCGTTTTTCTCGCCACGGTTCCCTGAACGACATCATCCGTAGGGCTCTTGTTTCCATCAATGTTCCATCTATTTTAGAGCCCTGTGGCATTTTTACGCGACGATGGTAAGAGACCCGACGGTTTAACATTGATCCCTTGGGAGAGAGGCAAAGCCCTTGTTTGGGACGCCACTTGTGTAGACACTTTGGCTGCCTCTCATCTAAGGGGTACTTCGGTCAGGGCCGGGGCGGCATCGGAGGCATCTGAAGTAAGTAAATGGCGCAAATATGAGTCTTTATGTTCAGATTATGTATTTGTGCCATTTGCTGTTGAAACATTAGGTCCGTGGGGTACCCGCACATCAAGTTTATGTCCTAGGCTTATCGCCGCGGCTGGTGACAAGAGAGCTGGTTCTTTTCTCGCGCAAAGGTTGAGCATAACTATTCAGCGAGGAAATGCAGCTAGCGTTCTTGGCACCATGCCGCGTGGATTAGGTTTATTAGATAATATGTAATTTTAGATAGATTTAATCTTGTAAATATTAGATCAATAAAGATTGTCTCATTTAAAAAAAAAAAAAAAATTTAATAGGGAGCCTATATTTGACTCAGTTGCGGCGTTGCTTAGGCTTTGGCGCCAGGGGTCGTGGATTCGCTTCAAGGCAAGTATTTATATGACCCACAGGTAAGTGTTTCGGATATGGGTGTTTGCTCCCAAGGGTGGTTGACGCCAGGAAGGCAGCTGTCCTATAAAACCTACCCGAAACTATTAACAACATGATTCACATTGTGCCGACCCCACTTAGGTCGGATAAGGGTAGGAGGATGATGATATAGGATCTCTTGCTCATTGCATAATTAGTAGGTAACAAAACAATTAACTTTTCTGAAAGATGATATTGTGCATGATATTCATTAATAAGTAAATTTTCGTAAAGATCCTTAATAGTTAGTACCTGGAGGATGGGGCTTTGGTCGGTTTTTTTTGGTAAATCATGTGTTTTGGAAATAAAAAAAAACAAAAAGAAAATGATCTGTTATAGAAAAAAAGTAAAAAAATAAGTGTGTAAATGATTGTGATACGAACCGCAACAGTCTGTTTTGGGGCCGTCCGATTACCGACCGAGCATATTCGAATGATATTTTTCATTCCCTGTAAAACAGGGATAAAAGGACATTTTCTACCTAGAACCCTAGAGAAAGAGAAGAACCCTAGGAAACCTAGCTAGATCGATCTACGCACATAGTAAATTTCATGAAAATCGCTGGAATCGATGCCGTTTCCGAGATTCCGAGTATATGTATATATATAATCGGATATATATATATACATATACAAGAATTGCTTGTTTAAAGAATAAGATATATATTTATATATATATATACAAGAATTGCTTGTTTAAAGGATAAGATTCTTTTGCTTTTCGTAAATAATTTAATTTTCTTAAACTGTCTGCTTTCGTAATACTATTTTCATGAGTGATCTTTCGACGTAGCATGTCTTGGGATCTAATTGTAATTTCCCTCTTGTTCTCTCCCATGGATAGGTTCCACTATAGGTCCATGCTGAAATTCAAACCTACATTTGAGGGGCCGTTGAATCGTGTCATGTTTCCGCTTCTTAGGCTAAATTTCCGTCTTTTGATAATAGGGGTCGCGTAGTCGTCGTTTCGTAGTGCACCAGCTACTTTGTTCACCTGAGTCCACGATTCGTCCATTTTTTTAGTCAGTTTTTTATTCTGTTTACCCGATTCGATTCTGTACTGCAAAACCTTAAGATATATAAACACTGGACCTGACACTGACGTTTGGGATAATGATAAATGCTTTTGCTCATTTTGCTGACTTGTTGTACATTTGTTGTTGGAATTTATTTCAAAAAATTATTTTATGCGGCTTAAGTAAAAAAAAGAAAATATGTGGCATGAACATAATATTGAATACTAGTGAAAATAACATAAAGGATGCATTAACTCATTGAAAATATGTTTTTAATTTTTATGAATTCATCGCTTGCCTTAATGTAAAAAATATATTAAAGTAATTAAAATAACTTGTTAGCCGTTATTAATTCTTAGTTCCCGCCTTTGTGTAATTTTTACGTGCTGGCGTGGCGTAGATATCTAGCGCACACGGAGTGCGGGCGATGTCGGTTTTTTGCATCAGTTAACCGCGTCTCGTGGTGTAAAACGGTCGCTATGATATTCGCAGTGGCCGCTATTTTAGCGGCTTTCTGTGCGGTTTGTCTCCTTCTCGGTTTCTTCGTAACGAGTGGATTAGCAATTGTTCTCGGTGTCTTATATGCTCTCATATTTCATACAAGATGGTGCTATGTTGCACTTATGACTGCTCCAAGAGACATCAGGTAAACATCCTGCTTGTAATTTGTACAACAATTTGTAAAGTAATGTGATCTGACTTTAAGGTCAAGCTATTATTTTAATTCACTCAAACATGAAATGATTTAACTTTTCTGTTACAAAAAAAAAATGTTTCCATTGTCATAATTTTGATGGTTCAGTTTACTAATAACTTATTTAGTAATGTAATAAATACAATAATGCAGTTCCTATTACTAAATGCCATTGTAGTTTTTATTTTCAACAACAATGTTTTTTCAATTTAATGTTTACATTTTAGAGCACTAATTTGTTACTTCAAGATTTTGATTTTAACATGGCAGTTGACACGAAAGAATTGGACTCTTCCTGATATTTTCCATTATGTTGTTCAAAGACATCCAGAAAAACCATGCTTTTTATTTCAAGATGAAATTTGGACTTTTAAAGAGGTTTGTAGGTAACTTATATGAGTAACCATGATTTAATATTTGTAGCAAATTTTTTTTTTCAAACTATTTATTATAAAATATCCGAACTGCAAACACGTAAAACACAACATTAATTAAATTTCTCAAACATTAAATGTAACGGAATTAAAACAAACTTCATATACCAATTTTTGATTTATATTCAATCACTTAAAGCACAAGGTTTGTGTTAATCAACATTCACTCACATAAGTCAATTAGGTATTGTATTCAAATTGTATGACAGTACTTATTAAAATGCCAATATATTTTTATCAAATGTTGCTGAGGAGATATTGACATAATTTATCTGATTTTGATATGGTCTTTATGAGAAAAATATTTCAATGATAAAATATCTGTAAGCTAAAGTAAATAATAAAAAATCTACACAAGCTTAAATTTTTAAAATTTTTGTTTTGATAGCTTTAATTAGACCATTAAGCTTATGCCCCCATAGATTAAGATGTATGGCTGCATTCAGATATGTTAATTGGTACAACACTAGAGTTAATTACTGTAAAAATTTTAAGTTAATCTACACATTTTCACATTTGAAACCTAGTTACAATTCAATTGATGTTTTTAAAAGGATTACTGAATTTTTAAACAAATGATGCTATTGTACATTGTACTTAAAAATCATAAATAATCATATAACATAACTGTCACTTTTTTTTAGGTAGAAGATTTCAGTTTACGTGTTTCAGCTGTGCTAAAAGCAAAAGGTGTTAAGAATGGCAATATTGTTGGTCTCTTTGTGAATAATTGCCCTCAATTGCCAGCACTATGGCTTGGAAATGCCAGATTGGGTGGTATAACACCATTGATCAACACCAATCAAAGAGGCAATGCATTAATTCACTCAATTAATGTTGCCAAATGTGATATTTTGATATTTTCAGACCAATATCAAGCAGGTATGTATAGATAATAAATAAGATTCATTTGTGTTTACGGTACTGCGGTTTGGTAGAGCATTCAAGTTTTAAAAATACCTGCACAAATTTTATGATGTTTGTTTAATAAATTTTTCACAAATCATTAAAATACTAAAATTAAAGGTTATTGTTGAAAATTATCAAGTTATCAAGTCAAGTGTAGGAAGGCATGTGTTGTTATTTTTGCCATTAGTATTGTAAATATCATCCCCGTAAGTTAAGTTTGTTTTCAAGTCTGTTTTGGTCTTTACAATTACTGTTTGGTTTTCACCAAGTTTTGTAATGCAAATAATGCATCAATTGACAATCATATCATTTAAATTTTAATTGCAAAGGTGACACCTCTAGTTTTTAAATATTTAACTGTAAAATGTCATATGAAAAAGTGGTATTTTGCTGTAAAGGAAACACAATGAACAGCAATGCTTAAAATGCAATAAAAACAAAGTAGGTAAAGTAAAGTAGGTAAGGTAAATACATTGGGATTTTCATCGGTATGAAGATAAGCCGTTTATCTCAGTGGCTAGAGCGTCAGGCGCGTATCCCGGAGAACAAAAATCCTCCCAGTGGCGAAAAACTGACTTTTTTACAAATAAAAAAAATGCATGAATAATATTTTTTTAATAGAAAGTGTGACCACAGCGCAAGCAGACCAAACTGACGACATTATTTGCAGGGGAATATTAGGCTTACTGTACTTTACATCGGCGATCATCGATTCGATGAGTTTATTGATCGCATCCTGCGGTAATCTCTCCGATTGATATTAAAGTAGATCCTGCAGGTGGATACAGTCTTTCAAAACTCCTCTGGAGCAAACATACTCAATCCCATGCATGCTCAACCGAGTGTAAGTCCGGCGATTAAGCAAGCCACAGCAGAACTTGAATGTTCCCCTGCACGAGCCTTTTTTTCTTTTTTTTTTGCTTTTAATTTTTAGCATCCTACCACTCGCCCCTTTTTAAATGTCTTCGCTACATAACTTTTTGTCAATATTTTCAAACGACTTTAAAAACGAGGAGGTTCTCACTTCGGTTGTATTATTAAATTGATTAGTTTCCGGCAGAACTCGATCGTTGTTAATAAAAAATTGTACTTATTTGAGGTTTAAAAACAGTAAATGCTGTTAAAGTAAAAATACTGGCCAAGTGCGAGTCGGACGGAAAAAACGGCAAAAAAAATTCTGTTGTATGGAAGGCCCACTTAAATATTATTTTTATTCTGTTTTTTAGTACTTTTTGTTAGTAGCTAGTAGCGGCAACAGCAATACATCATCTGTGACTATCACGGTTCATGAGATACAGCCTGGTGACAGTAAGACAGACAGATAGCGAAGTCTTAGTAAATAAACCCTAATGTTTTGTTATGCTTAACAAGTATAACTTCTTGCGTGCGTACATAATAAATACACATATTACGTATTATTATATATATTATACATATATATATATATATATTAAGTTATACTTCATTCGCCTTGCAACCATGTCGCTATTTGGCTGTCGATTTGCACGCGCGTCGTAAACATTTTACTCTCATATTTTTTTTACAAACGCGCCAAAGGAAGTATGTGTAATTTAAACTTATGCAGCGTGGGACGACCCCCACTGGATGGAGAGTGCAAGTTTGCGGGAAGTCGATGGATGGTGCTTCGTGGCAGTCTGTGTAGGAGGCCTATGTGTAGCAGTGGACTCAAACAGGCTGAAATGATAATGATGATGATAACTTTAAAAATTTGTATACAGCTTTTAAAAACAAAATTTTAGTAAATGTTTTAGCAATCATCACAATAGTTTATCGTGTTGCTTAGACTTTTTAATGGGTATATAATAATATATACACATTAAAAAGTCTAAAGGCAATTGAGGTAAAGGCGTAAGCTTTTGTATATGCATATACCATTAGTTGAGGAAGCCTACTCCAGAAGGTATTAAGGTTGAGCCCGTCGAGCGGCGCCATTCCAGATTAGCGGACTTCGCTAACTATTATTCTTACATTTTCCATAGACACAGGTCTATTTGCGATATTTACTTAACTGTTACGAACATGGTCTATATCAGTAATTAAATTGATTTTATTCCTTTATTTAGACCACAAATCACTTAAAAATATTTTGGTACTTCGAATTTAATTATGAGTATAAGGAATTTTGTGATTGTTGACCTCGGGTGGCCGACTGTTTTTTGTAGGAGCATTCAGTGTTTGTTGATATTTTATCTACTAACTAATTTCATTAAATTAATATCATCATCATCCTCCAGCCGTTATCCCTCCTTGGTGGGGTCGGCACAACATGTGAATCATGTTGTAAGAGGTTTTGGCTATGTTTTTACGGCCTGCTGACCGATCGGCCGACGGTGTTTGTTTGGGAAACAAACACCAAGATCCTGAACAATTATGAATAATATTTGGTGGGTCCCACAAATACTTTTCCTGTGTGGGAATCCAACCCACGACCCCTGACACCAAAGCCAATAGCTTAGCAACGGCGCAACCGAGTCAATTAAATCAATATAAACTAAATAAATCAAATAGAGTTTATATTTCTTACTAGCGACCCGCCCCGGCTTCGCACTCGTGCAATGTATTTATTATATATAACCTTCGTCTTGGGTCACTCTATCTAGTAAAAAAACTGCATCAAGATCCGTTGCGTAGTTAAAGAACTAAGCATACATAGCGACAGACAGATAGCGGGACGACTTTGTTTTAAGCGTATGTAGTGATTATATGTATTTTTAGGCAGTAAAAAAAAACCTAATAAACCTGCCTAATCTATTGCCTTCCTAAACTAGCGCGGTGACCAGAAACAAATTTACCAACATCTTTCTCTTTTGTTTGGAGACAGTCATGAGTATTTCAGTACTTATTAAGGTATAAGAGAGGTTTGATAAAAAGGTTAGGATTCTCTATAATGATTTTTATTTCAGCCGTACAAGAGATTGCCAGCCAGCTTGATCCCTCAATTAAACTGTTTAAATTTACGCACCGTCCATTAAACTGCTCACAATCAAGCGCAAAGGGTGGTGGCGATGAAATTGGCGATTTCACCACTATGTTGGAAACCACGCCACCAGCCCCATGGAGTCTGGCGGACGCCCAGGGTTTCCACGGGAAACTCTTATACATTTATACGTCTGGAACAACTGGGCTGCCTAAAGCCGCTGTCATATCCAATTCTAGGCAAGTGATTTTATTGCAATTAGTTTCCATAAACCTCTCATTATTTCTCGTTCAATTTATATTCTTTACTTTCTCTTTCAAGTCATGCTTTCCGCAATGATTGGTATTATAAACGTATGTAAATATATCTAAGTTTCAAACAACAGTTCGTAACATGAACGTTCTGTTTAATTGAACGACATTTTCTAAATTATTCTATTTTCTGTAGAGAAAATAGAATCATTGAACTGTCGAAGCTTTAGTATAAATTTTTCAAACCATTTCTTGAGTCTGCTTTGAAATATGTTATATTCCCTAAGTATAAAGGAAAATTTTGAAATATTACCACAAATTCATATCTTATCAATGCATGTGTGTATTTTAAAATTTTATTGGATCTATAATAATAAACATAGTATAAAGTTTTGGGGCACTTCGACATCTGTCAATCTGAAAAGGTCAATACCAGACTTAGATCGCAAAGTGTGTGGGGACACTGAAACTGTTATTATAGTAGTAGAGGAGTTCATGACTTCGATGAATTCATCACTGCCTCCCGCGTCAGATTTCAAATGCGTATTTGAAAACTCTCTAAAATAAAACTCTGTTTTTCCTAATAATTAGTTTAGTACTTATGCATAAAAGTTAAGATAACAGGTGGTCCTTGTAGACGAAAAAGATTCGAAACACTGATCGTTTGGAACGATTCGTTTAGCACTCTGTATAGTGGCGTACGCGTCTAGTGCCGACATCGCGTCGCCCCATTCGGTGACGTTACTTTCCCGCCCGGCCCGATTTTCGCTTTCACTTGCGATCATATGATCTGCTACCGAACTTCTCTCTTTCAACTTGTACTTTCATAGTTGTATTATATTATCATAGGACGTTTTCATAAGCAGATGGTTTTGTCCATTGATATTTCATACCTGAAATATTCTACCATAAAGGCCCATTTACACGATGCCATTTTCTTGTACATACAAGAGCAATAATTGAATGCAATAAATTGCGCGCAATAATTGTTTAGACCATTTGTTGTTAAGACCATGCAACTTATTTATGCTTCAATTTAATTGTATGCAACAGGCAAGAAACTGGCACCATGTAAATGTGCCTTAAATATTAGTGAACTGCGCTAATATAAACAACAAAGTTAATGTAGAATATTCACAAGACCAACGCCAAAAAAAGAACAAATTTACTTAAAAAGTCTAAATTTGATATATGTTTTATATAATAAAGTCTAACCGTGACGATGCAATGCGTAACAGTTATGTTATCAGTCCGAAGTAGCAGCATTAAAACATTAATCATACAATTTTACTGTTACTGGCGTTATAAGCTCAATAGCTTACACGAAAATAAGTTATTTGTTTTATAGACATTCATTCAATCGTTTTGAATAGCAAAGCTGATAACTAAACTGGGGACCAAGGATTTCGAGTGACCATCATTAACAGCTCAAAGGATCTAACGATCGAGCTTCATGGCCATATTTAAGAGGGTCTGTGTTTAACAGGATTACTAATGGGCAGTGCTGATGATTGCGACTCCTGCAAACCAACGGAACATATCACTTCGAACTCTTGTGAATGGTTATAACCGAATCCGTAGTAATTAGGTTCGAAAATGCCTTCAATGATATCAATTACTATCACTTTTTTCGTATTTTATAGTATTCAAATCACGGCTAAAATACATAGTACCTATTTCTGAGCATGTTTAAGATTTAATTGTATGTTATAAAGAAAGAAAATTAGTAATAATCTAATAAACGTTTCGAACAATTAACTCCACTTAATATTTATAACTATGCTGTTTATAAGTAATAAAAATAATAGAACAAATCCCCGGTTAAAATTTAAACTTAAGTTAAAATTTAAAATTAAATTATTACCATTTATTATTATAGGAAAGTTATTACCCTCGCATTCGCACTAAAGTCGAAATTTCTTTCTGTCTTTCTCCCACCAAACTTACACTTATTGTTAATTAATTTTGCGAACACTCATTTTTAGACATTTGACAGCTAGTTCTACTAAGCGTTAACTGGCGTTTAGCACTGGACTGTACATACGCAAATCTAACGGTGCCAATATCTATCAAACTCGTCATTTAAGGCCTATATGCAAGTAACTCCACTACTCTCACATCGTAGTAAGATCAACAGTTTTTTTTGCACCTATTGCCCTGGGACTATGGCTGCGAGTGGAACTGCTCCAGCTATCGATTGATTACCCATACCGCATAATTTTCTCATTTTCAACATTACCTTAGGTTCGTGTTCATGGCCTCGGCCATCCATCACATGCGTCTCAATTCTTCGGACACGATATACTGTCCCCTGCCGCTGTACCACACCGCCGGCGGCGTTATCAGCGTGGGCCAGGCCCTCATCTTCGGCTGCACAGTCGCCCTGAAGCCCAAATTCTCGGCGTCCCAGTATTTCCCGGACTGCGCGAAGTTCAAGGCCACGGTAAGTGTTCTAAATGGTATTCGACCAAGAGACCAAACATGGACAGAACCAGACGATACGGAATATTATTAACTAGCGACCCGGCTTCGCACGGGTGCGGTGCAATGCTGAATGTTTGTTTTCGACATCGCATTAGAAACCTCTAAAATTATAAGTGTTTCTCTACTATGTTATGCATGAACTATACATATAAACCTTCTTCTTGAATCACTCTGTCTATTAAAGAATATCGCATCAAAATCCGTTCCTTAGTTGTAAAGATCTAAGCATATACAGACAGACAGCGGGACGACTTTGTTTTATACTATGTAGTGATACTGATTCGAGCGTCTGTCTTACCCGTTACTTCGGCTGGGGCGAGCTGGCACGTTCGTGTGTTAGTCTATGCATTGCTTGTTGATAGTGATACTGTAGAAACCGGTTGCCTCATCTACAAGCGGTTTAATCAAGATGAAGTCATTTTCTTTAACTGTATTAAACAAAGTAATATGCAGTTGGAAAAACTATATTCGCACCGGCGAGAGTCTACTCAAGTAGTACGATTGCCATTTGCGGCCATATCTCCACTTCTTACAAAATAACTAAACTCTGGCCACTTTCTTATCAAAAATTAAATAATGTTTATTATTATTTTTTATAGCTTATATAATTTTTTATTACCTTTACTGTTCTTTGTTTCTGTAAATGATCAGCGTGTAATCGTATTATCACTAATGCTTTGCCATACACATATTATTCTATAGCGTGTATGCAATGACCTTAATTTAAGATCAAGTTTTTAAATCGGTTTTTGGAACAAACCACCTTTAAAATTAGCGTTATTATATAATTTTTATCATTACAATTTTTTTGTTTCAATATTTCTACTGATAGTAAAAACAGGCACATCGTTTGCTATTATGTTTTATATTTTCCTTAGTTATATAATTTCAATGTCAGTTTCAATGTACAACCGGTTTTTTCACCATATTTAGTGTAGTATGAGTGTATGACGCATCATAGTGATACCATCGTTTTTTTAAGAACCAAAAAATTTAATTTAAAGAATTTTACATAGAGTAAATGTTTAATCAAATTTTATTTTTCTAAACTGACCAATAATATAAAAAAAGTAAACGTTAATCGAACACTTTAAACTTTTTTTTAATAGTTTTATCGTACGTATAGGTACTAATTATAATTATAAATTGCAGGATAAAATAGAAATTGATTGCGCAAACAATAAGTTAACAACACAATATTACATTCGCACGGTGAACGTTTATCAGCATATTTTTCATTGAAAAATATCATTCAAGAGTAGACATAAATCTCAGTAAATTTTAGTTCGATAAATTAAAATTCGATCCTCTCAAATATCTAAACAAATCGTGGTAAACAAAAAAATGTTAAGGGGTTCCAACCATTTGCTGTTGACATTCCAACCATTTGCTGGTGCGTGAGGTAGCCGGGGTCTATTTAATCACAGCATGGCAGCGCATCTGCAACCCTAAGGGTGTTGCAAATACTAATGGGTGGCGGTTGTCACTTAACATCAGGTGAAACGCTTGCTCGCTTGTCATTTTCTCACATAAAAAACATTGATTTATTTGGCTTTACCATCAACGGCGAAAACTCCATTTACTATAATCTGGTCGAACACTGGCTGGTTCAAGAAATACGCCATCCACTGGCGACAACTTCTCTTACTATAATTTGGTCGACATTCTCTGTTTTATTTGAAGTTCTATGCGGTGTCCGCAGGTTGCGCACTACATCGGCGAGATGTGCCGCTACGTACTAGCCACGCCGCCTTCTGCTGCCGACACGGAGCACAGCGTTCGCGTCATCTTCGGCAACGGATTGAGGCCACAGGTAATAAGGCAGCGGTCTACGACGCGGACGGTGACCCTTAATGACCCTCCGGGTCGAAACCAGAGAAATATTGCGGTTATGGTATACAATCTGAGTAGAGACATTTGTGATTATTCTGCTGTGAACATTAATCCGATTATTGATGACTCCGTGGCGCAGTTGCCAACGTATTGGCTTCGGCGTCCGGGGTCGTGGGTTCGATTCCCACACGGGACAACTATTTGTGTGACCCGCAGATAGTGTTTCGCATTTGGGTGTTTGTCCGCGTGAAATTTATGTTTGTAAAATGTCCTTACAACACAGGATAATGTTATCCCAAAGTAATGGCAATGTTTTTATTAATCAAAAAAAAAGAAGAAAAAAAATCATGTAACAATCCTTAAGCTTAATCTTAATCATCCTAGCTTAATAAGCATATTCGTTAGTAGTCAGTTATGGTGTGCATTATTTATCTAATTGCAAATTTGTTGGAATTTTCTTCATAAATTAATATCAAACAGTTCAGTGTTGCCGACGTTTAAAATTACCAAAGAAAAGTTAAATAGTACTTTATTTTGATACACTATCACACATATACACTATAACACATCGATAATCGAATTGCAATATTAATGCAATCGTTCGAATCGTAATGTAGATGATTTTATTTTAAGCGACTTTTAAAGACTTGAATACAATAAATTAATCCGTGGACACAAGCCTCGATTTTATTAGGAAAATTGCTTAATCTATATTTCTAAATCATACAGAGATAATGTTATTTATTTTTTTAAGTTAAAATCAGACTAAATGTCCTTGGTTTACCATTAAATCAATCCTTTTTTAATTACAGCACTGGTAAGCCATTTTATAAATAATTGTTATTCTGTAAATTATTTATATTTTATAATTAATAATTGTCAAATCGTATGATAAATTTGCGGATATGTAATAAGATATTATTTTGTACATTTTTATTTTTTTATTTTTTTTAGATTTGGAACGAGTTCGTGAAGCGCTTTAATATCAAGTATGTACTGGAGTTCTATGGCGCTACAGAAGGCAATGCCAATATAGGTATTAATTATTGTTTATAATTCCATAAAACACCATATTTATAGGCAATTTCAGTCAGGTGTAACGGCTTTGCGTTAAATATTTATCTTTCAGTTCGCACTCCTGTTTGGAAACAATTACTATTATTAAATAATATATAACAATGAATGAATAACAATTAACTATTCTGGACCGCCCAAGGTTGATTGGGAGATAACGCTGATGGCATTAACTCCACCTTTGTACATAAATGTTTGTGCATAAAGATTAAACAAATAAATACATTTTGCAAAGTCTCACTGCATAATGAAAGAAATTACTTATATTAAATATCCAAAAATATTATTATAAGCTTTAAAAATGTATAAAAATCAGAATTTATTACAATAAATATTTACTGCACTTAAATTTAAACCATTTAAATACTATATTTACTTAACTTATTATTTAATATCCTATTAAATAAATCACAGCAGAAAACAATATAAGCACATTAATTCTCTTTTTATGTAAGAAGATTGCAGGCGAGCTGGCCGTTCCGCTGCTGTTAAGCGATAACCGCCGCCCATTGATGGCCATTTGCAAACCCAATGTACCCTACATTGTGTACAAATGTGTTTGTACAATTTTTTTCTTGTGATTACATTCCTTTTTATATACACTGTGGACATAAATTATTAAATAAATAAATAATTTCTACTCACTATTGTGATCTCACACAAAAGACGAAACGCTGAAGTATAACTTCCACTACGGACGGACGGACCTGCCAATTCGTGTAAAATCTCAAATGCTCGTTTCTTCCAGCTAATACTGATGGGACGCCTGGCGCAATTGGTTTCGTCTCCCGCATCTTGCCCAGTATATACCCCATTGCCATCATCAAAGTTGACCAGGAGACAGGGGAGCCCATCAGGGACTCTAGAGGTCTTTGTCAGGTGGGTCCTTAATGTTAGTCTTAATAGCTATATATAAATTATAGCCTATATGTCATTCTGGTGTATAAGCTATATTATTCATTAAATCCATTCATTAGTATTTGCGTGAAAGAGTAACAAACATCCATCAATGCATACAAACTTTCGCATTTATGTATATAGTACCTGGAGGACCGGTTTTTTTTGGTCAATCATGTATTTTGGAAATAACAAAAATAAAAAATAAAGAAAATGATCTGGTATAGAAAAAAAAGTAAAAAAAACAAGTGTGTAAATGATCGTGATACGAACCGCGGCCGTCTGTTTTGGGGCCGCGGTTCGTATCACGATCATTATAACATTTTTTTTGCGGCGAAATTTACCGTCATATTTGAATGATATTTTTCATTCCCTGAAAACAGGAATAAAAGAACGTGTTCTAAAAATGAAACCTAGCTAGATCGATTTTTCGCCCCCGAATCTATGCACATGCTAAATTTCGTGAAAATCGCTGGAGCCGTTTCCGAGATTTCGATTATATATATATATATATATACACATATACAAGAATTGCTCGTTTAAAGGATAAGATAAGATTAGCAAGGATTTATTTATTTGGCATTATTGTAAACTCTTTTTGGCGCCGTCGCTCGCACAGCTGGCGAATCCAGAGGAGCCGGGCGTGTTCATCGGCAAGATCTCGCCGAACAACCCGACGCGCGAGTATTTGGGCTACGTGGACAAGTCCGCCTCAGAGAAGAAGATCGTTAGGGACGTGTTCAAGTACGGCAACTCCGCCTTCATATCGGGTGAGTGCGCCGTTCGCTGTACTACAATTTATTCATTACACACTAGCCCCGCCCCGGCTTCGCACGGGTGCAATGTGTTATACATATAAATCCTCCTCTTGAATCACTCTATCTAGCAACAAAAAACGGGCTGTGCAGTTCACTATAAACGTAATATTGGACATAAATATTTGTATAATAAAGCTGTCTAAACTAACGACCGCAAGATAATAAAATATTTGACGGCAGCCCGTTTTAACTCCGACGTCGTTACGAATGACCTTGACCTTGGTAGTTATCGTCTGGAGTTAAAAATTTAAATTCAAAATACAACGCGGTAATATCCGGTAAATAGTTTCATTCAGCCATATTATTCAATCTTGATTTTTTTTTATGCGAAAAGTTGTTAAACGAGTAGACGGTTCACCTGACCGCCGCCCATGGACATCTGCCACACCCGAGGGCTACAGATGCGTTGACAACCTTTTGAAAATTCGGCTCCCAATTTGTTAGTTGAAAAATAACCCGGCGGTTCATTTGATGAAGGAATTGTAGCTTCGACAATTGCTTCGAAACGAACAAGTTTCTTTCGAATGTCGTTTTACAACGATAACTCGAACGAGCGATGTCGCCATTGCTTTTTGGAAATTAAAATTTTACGTCGTGTCATTTTGACTTTTACCGTTTGCAGGCGACATACTGGTAGCGGACGAGTTCGGCTACCTTTACTTCAGGGATCGAACCGGCGACACGTTCCGATGGCGCGGCGAGAACGTCAGCACCACGGAGGTGGAGGCGGCCATCTCCCGCGCGGCCGACCACCGGGACGCCGTGGTCTACGGAGTACTAGTATGCACTTTCGCCAACTTTCACCGCAACAGCTCGCGATCGAACCTATCGTTGCCAACCTTTTTTGGAATGCCATAAATCGTTTACAAAAAAAAAATTGCGACGACAACCAAGTTCATATAATAGTTAATTATACCAATTTTTTTAATTAATGAGCAAGTTGCCTGTAAATCTTGGGGAACAGTTTTCGGAAACGTTATTCAGAATTACATAATGAGAAAGTTAAAATTTTTTGCAACATTAGTTAATACACCGTCACAGAGTGTACATGTACTACATTTTTTTTTATAAAATTTTAAAAATACTTATTTGTATATTTTTCCGTTAACTATAATGACTTGACCTATCACCCGATCCCGACTTGACGTTAACTTATGGCACAGCCTGTCTTTGTTTGAGATGATAATGCCAGTAGAAATAGTTATTGGTATTCGCGCATCCGCAAGCTTCAATACAAAAAATACTAAGTTTGTTGTCTTAGATCGGGCTCAGATTTATTTTAGACGTTTTCATTTAAGACGTCAGAAAAAATAAAACGTCAGTGTATAAGCACGCTAGCGGAATTCGAACCTTTGTGTCTTAGATTCCGTGGTAAGAGCCTCGGCCACAATAACCTTGACCTAAACGCCTACATATGCAAATAATTAAAGTTATCTTCATTATCAAAACGGGAAACTGAACGGGGGGATATAGAGACAGAGAAATAGATCAGATTTTTTTTTAGTAAAATTGTTTACAAATGCAAACGAAAGACTTTTTTATTGTATTTAGTTAAAACTTTTCTTGGTTTTTTTTTAAACAACGCCCTTACTGTGGGATTACATGATACTGTTTTCTAAGGACGTAAATACATAAATTTCCCATGAACAAACAAGCAAATTTGAAATAATTATCTGTGGGTCTCACAAATAGTTGTCCTGTGCGGGATTCGAACCCACGACGCCCAGCGCTGAAGCCAATACGTTGACAACAGCGCCACGGAGTCATCAAAACTTATTAATATTTATATTAATACAACTCTCAAATCGTCGAATTGTTACGAATATAAAGTGAATATATAAGAAACTAGCTTTTCGCCCGCGGCATCGCTCGCGTTGAAGCCCTTAAATAAATATCTTTCTTTAACCTTTCAAACTTTTACAACACTTTTTTTCAATTAAAAAATAGCCTATGTCCTTTCTCAGGCTCTAGACTATCTGTGTACCAAATTTCATTTAAATCGGTTCAGTAGTTTAGGCGTGAAAGCGAGACAGACAGACAGAGTTACTTTCGCATTTATAATATTAGTATGGATTAGAATACAATCACAGATACGTCTGGTACTTTAACTACCTTTACAACAACATCAAATAACTCAATTGAATTGAAAACAATAATGTCTTTCAATTAAGGTTATCGTCAGTTTGGGGGTAAAGTTCGATTCGATTAACAGTGAATGCTGGAAGTGAACTTATCAGACCCTTACGTATGTAAATTGTTTCGCTCTAGTTCTTGGTGCTGATTAATTGTTGCTAATAAGAATTCGAAATGATATGTAAAGGGGATTGTTCATCTTTGGAAAAACGTGGGCAGATTGCTCAGAAAACAGCAATAATTAATACAAAAAAGATTTTTGACTTCGGGTTGTATCCAATTTACATTCATAGAATATTTCGCTAATAAGCGCGTCGTCAATAATCGGGTAGGGCAGTGTGTTAGGTCCTTCTGAACTCCATTATATCCCCACCGATCCGCATCTTCATAAAGTTTACGCCCGGCAGGATTTGGATCGAGGTCGCCAACGATAAATGCGGGGGTGCGGTTATCAAATATGTGACTCAGGAGGACGGTAGCATAGGTTTGAATCTCACCCAGCCACGTGCAATCTCACACCTATAGTTGCTAAAGATTTATATAGTTTAAGCCCCAAACGATCTTGAATCAAGTCCCTCCCTACAAGTAACGCTGTACCACGTTACGCTATGCCACGCGGAGAAACTTCATCACGTCGATACACAAACTACTTTCGGGTTATAAAGAGGTGTTTAAAGATTCAGTTATATCGTCTTCGAGCCCACACCATCAGGGATACAGTAAAGTAGTTAAAGGCATACCCTCGGCCAGGATACTCTAGTGAATAGCTTCGACAGTTAATACTATAGTCATAATTAAGCAAATTATTTTTGTTCACTAATAAAATACATTTGCGCAATTTTTTTTTTCATGCTCTTTGTACTTTTCTAGTGATCTTTGACAGATCGAGGTCATTGACGCGCATATCTTTATTTGAAATGCATAGTATGGAGTTACGTTGAATTTATGTAAAATAATATAAGTAGGTACGAAAAGGTAAGATTATTTATTTTAAATGTGAAAAGTTGCCAAACGAGCAGACGGTTAACCTGATGTTAAGTGAATACCGCCGCCCATAGACATCTACTACAACTGAGGGTTTGCAGATGCGTTGACAACCTTTTTGAAAGTTGGGCTCCGACCACCCCACTCACCAGACGAAACGCGAAAGTATTATACTTCCACTTTACGCCGGTCTTCTGTGAGGTCGTGGTACTTCCCCGGACGGGCTTGCCCGTTCAACAATCAACAGCCGAGGCTGCTGCGTGGCTCTACCACCGTGTTGGAAACAACACCAATGCACATAATAAGTAACTACTTATTATTTTATTGTCGTTATGTTTTTGTGTATATGTTTACTAATTGTGTTATTGGTTTTGTGTGTACACGAAATGTTAGTGTCTTCCACTTATTATTCATAATTATCTCTACAACCTTAACCTAACCTTAAAGTAAGCCGTATTGACATTGTGAAACGTGTTCACGTTGGTCGTGGCATAATCGAACTAAACAAAATAAACGCCACTGACGCAAGTGAGCTGCTATTTTGCGAGACGTTTTTTTTTGCGTTGACCATGTATCTAGTTGTAGTTGGAACAAAAGAGGTATTGTTAGAAGGTTTTTGCATGAACATCGACGATGTAAAGACTATCTATGGCCGGGCACGGTATCATGAAAGTGGTAACCGCGTCCCACTTTTTAAAGGTTGGCAACGAATCTGGAATTCCTAAGGTGCAGCAGATGTCTATGATGTATGGGCGGTAATCGTTTAACACCAGTTAATACGCTTGTACGTTCTCATTTACAAAAAAACAGCTCGACCTCCAGGGCATACTACGGCTCTTTTGTCTTATGTTCACCACAAACGGAATAGCGGTATACGGCATGCTCTTTTATGAAACTTCCCATGCTATCTACAAATGATTCTACCCTTATAATAAATTTGACGACTCCGTGGCGAAGTTACCAAGTTATTAGCTTCGGCACGGGGTCGTGGGTTCGATTCCCAGACGGGACAATGATTTGTGTGGAGCGAAAATACTTGTTTCGGATCTGGGCGGGATTTTACGTGAAATATACATATGTTTCTAAAACGTCCTTACAGCACAGGATAATCCTATCCTACAGTAAAGTAGGACAAGAAAAAGAAAAGAAAAGCGTTCATGGTTGTTGGATAGACTGAGTTGTTCTTAATATCAGAGTTAACTGTGGCTATCGTCAATTATTTTATTATTTATTTTTAATCAGACGCAAAAGGAGCTTTTGGTATCTTGAGGTCTAGCAGTGGTATGCTTGGATTTAATTTTATACAGGGAGGCTTTTCTAAGAGTATCCTTTTTTTTATTAAATTCTAGACATAAATAATGTTATATAAATATTTAAAATCACTCGTAATTAATTACATTCATTTGAACTTATCTCAAAAAGTGTGTGATTTATGGACAACTCATTTATTTTACGCGCGATCATTCATAACTAACACGCACTAGTTCGTTTCAAAAGTATACGACGCATTTATGAATGACTATCGCATTGTCAACGAGTTCTGTTTTCTAGGGAATGGAGTTTCAATTTTTTTTTTAAAAAACTTTGTTTTTATTTCAATAAACGATTATACTACCGAATCTGAACCTCCTGTGTGAATTTGGGCACCTTTAGAAAAGCCACCCCGCATGTTATGGGATCCCGAGCTCAAGCTTTTTGATGGTGAACGCTGCAGGTGCCCAATACGGAGGGGCGTGCCGGGATGTGCGGCATAGTGGACGCGGACGGCACGCTGCAGCTGGAGCGGCTGGCGCGCGACCTGGAGCGGGATCTGCCCGCCTACGCCAGGCCCGTCTTCATCCGCGTCATGACCAGCGTCGACATGACCGGTCGGAGTACTTTCTTTGACACTCTTCATTTCATATAACGTCGGAGTACTTTCTTTGACACTCTTCATTTCATATAACGTCGGAGTACTTTCTTTGACACTAATTTCATTACAAACAACGCTGGAGCCACTTGCTTTGACACGTTTTTCAATTCAAATAACGTCGGAGAGTTTTTTTTTTGACATCTCTTTCATTTAAAATAACGTCGAAGCATTTTCTTTGACAATTTTTTCAATACAAAGAACATCGGAGCATTATATTTTACACTTGTCTCATTTCAGCAAATGGTTAATATCTACGTGAGGAAAGTTGCTGCAACCAACAAAATAGGTGTTGATAAACATTACTTGTTGTTTTTGTTACAAGTTCGATTCACATAGTTATTTTTTTCGTAATGTTCAAAAAATTTTGGCCTCTAGCGAAGTCACGATTTTAATTGAATTGACACGTGCATGTGCATTAATAACCAATTAAAACACATTTAATATACTTAAAAATCATTACTATTTTCACAGATGTTTCCTCGTTTTTATCAAACTGAAATTAATTATTAAATTTCTCAACGCAAATTCTGACGTTCTTTAACCACACGTGGTAGCTCATGAACTGATGTATTTACTTATTTAAAAACTTTTTCTAAAATGGCGTACAATGGCGAACTTAACACCATTTGGTGTTCTCTACCAGACAATCCACAAATAAATAGAGAAAATAATGTATCAACTCTTTAGCTACTTGTTGATTGTTATGTCTCAAATTATCTGCGCTGAGGCCATCTCCATAAAAGACCTCGTCTGTGAAATGTCAAGTGTAAGTCGACAAACATGCAGTTATCGAATTTCACGACATTTTCTTCACCGCTAATCACGTGATAAGGCAGTTGTTAAATACGAGCTTGGGAAAATTATGCTATCACGACCCACAACTACAATTCCTTTTTATTTATCATAAAATTTCGGGTGTTTAATTATTTGTAATTAGTGATTATTTATTTGCAAAAAATATATGGTTTCAAAAGGCTAAAATTCTTTGTTTAAGGCTGTTCTAAAATTCTTTGGTTTTGAAAATTTAATAACTCTGTAAATATTAATGTTTAAAGAATGTAAATTAAACATTTATACAATTTTAAAAAGTTATCCTCTATATGTGTGTTCATTTATTGTCGCGATGGTAAAGACACGCTGTATATAAAGGGCTGGACCGTATTAATGAAATTTTTGTATCTTCAGTAGAGAATGGTCTAGATTCACAATTCGGTACACTACATTTTTTTTATTTCTAAGTTGTCGTGTGTACAAGACAACGTCTGTCCGGTCCACTAGTGTCATATATAATGATGAATAATGAATGTACCACTATAGCATCGTAATAATCATCCATTATTTTTTTTTGTTGCGATTTTTACATGTAAAGATTCCTCATTTTTCACTGAACCATACGTCATTCCTTTATTTGTGTGCAATATATTCATTCACCTATTCTATTTTCAATTTAGGTACATTCAAGATGAAGAAAGTCGACCTGCAGAAAGAAGGCTTCGACCCTAGTTTGATGAAAGGGGACAAACTGTACTACTTAGACCTGAAGCAAGGTTGTTATTTGCCGCTAGGCAGCGAGGAGTACGAGAAAATATGCAATGGACTTTTAAGGCTATAATGATATGATGTTTGTTGTATAGTTGGTTTCAAAGGTATCTGAAATCGGGCTGATGAGTAAGAGCAACGCTATATTCGGTACGGAAAATAACGATTTTTTTAGTTAATATTGATAACTGTTAAAGTCGACTTGCGTTAAAAAGAATGCGCTCGTTGGACTTCAAAACTTTTATCTATTTTTTCCAATAAACCAGTAATATGTACCGATTTTGGAATTCGTATAAGAAGATTTTCTAGATCTGACTTTTTTTAAACAAGCATTGTTTAAAAGTTTTGAAACTCATTTTTATTTTAGGTTTAGGTTTTTCTTTATTTAGCCACGCCAGTCACTCAAAAACCTTTGTATTACTCATTTATATTTAATTTGCTATTAGACAAAGTATTGTAGTAATTTTTCATAATATATCCTTATGTCGTCCACTTTCAGATATTCAAGTACCTGATAACGGTCGAATTGTTTTGTGATAATAAGAGAATCTATGTAAATCTTTACTGTATGTATATTTGTCAGTAAACTGTTATTGAGCTGTTAAAATTGTACTTAAAAAGTATATGTAATTCCTAGCTAAAAGCTAGCATGCGTAGTACGATTTCTCCCTCTGAGACGTATTTCTTGTATCCTGTCTAATTAAATTTTGCGCGCACTAGTACTGAATAAGATTTACACAGTAGGAATTTTTAAAAAAAAAAAAAAAAAAAAATATTTTCGCAGTTATTATTGAGTAGAAGAATAAAGAGCTAGGTCAATGTACGTAATATGTACCTACTCAAATAACGCTACTTTTTATTAAATGTCTATAAAAAATCTGTATTGCATATAGCTTCCGTCGTTCGTATAATTTTATCATTTTAGTATTACATGTCATAATAGACATTTTTAAATGGTACACCGGTTTCATCGAATTATTGTTATACACTTGACTATAACTTTTTGTAGAATTATTAACTAACTATAGGTCAAAGTGTATGTCCGTCTCAATAGCTAGTTGTTTGTTCAAATATATGGGGTTGTTAATATTTCATAATAGTTATTACTTGCCGCATCGTTTACTGTTAATGTAATTTTCAGAACGAACGCATTCTGCACTCTGAATGCTGTAAGACTGAAAACTATTCACTTTTAATTTTGTTTACACCGTTAAAAAGTAAAATTAAAGGTAATGGGTCATGCCTGTCAATGTAATTAAATGTATATTTTGAATATATTAAAGCGATGTTTTATTTTTGTGTAGTACCTTGAGATCCACATTTTATTTTTAGTAAAAATATAGCTATTTATATATTTTATGAGACTATTTTAACCTGTTATAAATAAATAGTTGTCGTTCAATATTAAAAAAAAAATATGATAAAAAGCACGCCCTTCTATCGGCGGTAGATACCAGAAGGCCGCTTTTATTATGGGGCACACGCTAGTTTGTATTGTACGAGACAAATTAATGATTGCATCTGCTGGTATGGGAGATACCGGAATCCACAGAGGAAGCAGAATATTTTGTGGTGTTTTATAATCTTAAACTAGTTGGTGTGAATTTATAATTTTCTACGTTTATTTCGATTTCAGAACAAACCATCGCTAATGGAGGTTAAAATTTATTACGTTATTTAGGCAATTATTATTTACTTTAGTTACAAGATGTTGGCAAATTAAATTACTTTCTCTTCGTTGTATTTTAAATCGCATCGTAAAAAGAGGAGTGTGTTTTTAAGATTGACTTGTCTGTCTGCACATTTGTGCGCCTCTCCGAATAATAAGTTACATTTGCCGCCCATGGAAACTCACAAAACCACAACAAAAAAAGGTCTAATTCACCTGTCGTAAATTGACGTAAATCAGCAATATTTTTTTTTCTAGGCACTTCACGTCACGCCTCGGCAGATACAAAAACGGTAACAGTTGATGCCTAGCTCTATCAGTGTAAAATAATTATATCTGTTTAAAAAATATAACGGCACCGGCAATAATTTAAAATATGAAACACATATCTTGTTGTTTTGAAGATGACCCTCTTGCGCAGTTGCTAAGCCTCTTCTTTCCATCAGCTAACTGACTGAAAACCGTGGAGTAGTCAAAAAATGTGCGTTTTTTTATAAATTGCTTTGAAATTTTATTCAGACTAGTGTTAGACAGTACTAGACTAGTGTTCCCGCTGTGGTCGAAATTCGAGCATAATTAATGTACATGGTAGTATGTAATGTTTTTTTATTGATTTAATGTATTTTAATGCATAATTATATATATATATATATAAGCATTCTGTATTCCTAAGTGTGGGAAATCACAACATCAAAGAACTTCGTTTTACCAGGGATCGACTCTCCCGTATTAGTTTTTTCATAAGAAATATGTGTAAACATATTTTGGTCCTATTCTTCTTGTATATGTTTATGTAACAGTATTGTTAGCCCACACAGATATTTATCCTGCCAGTCGGCAATGAGCGTTGACGTCAGGCAGACGACCTATCGTAAAATAACCTAGCCACTGTGGATAAGGGCTGTAGGATGACGATAATTACATTGATTTCTGAGGACGTAATTGCTTAAATTACCGTCATGGTAATTATATACGGTATTTCCGGACCGATACAACTCAGGGGTCAGTAAGAAGAGGGCCTTCTCTTACCTCAAAGGTCGGTAACGCTCGAGGGAAAGACTGAGGTGCTGATGAGTAGTTATTTATTTCTGTTTTTGAAACCGGGTAAAACCATCACCGTTATTAAAAGACCACCTCACTCACTAGACGGATCGCAAAAGTATACGAATTATACTTCTCACCGGTCTTCTATGAGGTTGTGGTACTTTCTCGGACCTGTACACTATCATATACACTTCATCAAACGAACACCCCATTATTCAAATATGTTTTTTGTGCATGACAACAGTACTTTGTAAGTGCAAGTTTTTTATTTCATAATATACATTACAACGTAAAAGAAGCCATAGGGCAGCAATTTTGACTTTTACAGTGGCAGCTGCTATGGTTGCGTAATATTTTAAATTAAAATTAGTTAAATATTTAGGGTGCTTAAGTAGTAGTAAAAGCATGGCTTAAAAATAGCAAAACTTATAGTAAGTGACGAAAATGTACTCTACAATCTTTAATTTAATTAATTTTTTTTCTCATTATGTTTAAAATATCTTTCTTTAATAAATTCTTAATTATTGATTACGGATATAATTTGTCAAATTACAGTGGATTCGGTCGCTGATTAGTCAATATTAACGGCAATGTAAATAGAGTAACTTCCTACCACTGTTATTAAAGATAGGTAGTAAATATAAAAAGCCAAGCAGTAATAGCAATAATCGCATTCGTACTTGTAAACGAAGAAGGTACGACACCACCAAAATGGTATATTATCTTTCACTAACTTATCTTTTTAATAGACCTCTCATAACAAGACTTGATCCACAAACAAAGAATGTGAGCAAAAAGGTTAGTAAAATTTTATTTCAATCTGCAGGAACACAGAATTTGTACTCAGTTTGCTTATGTGATTGATAACGAAGATAAAATTGCTCTTGGAGAGAATGATAAAGATAGTATCAATATCAAACATTATTTATATTGAAATTTGTATTATTTACGATAAACAATAAAGGATTTGCAAAAATATCTGCTTTCTATACTTCTTGGCGCATGCAACAAATTCCAATTTCAAAATCGAACCCTCTGTCGTTTGACTGAAATGTCACTTTACACAACAGAACCGAAGAAGCGTTACAAAGCATCGGTAATGCAGCACTTTTGCTATAATATTTACGCTGATTTTATTATTTAGGTGAACTTTTTTTGTGCGTCGATCCCTTTCTATCAGCTGTTCCCCGCGCATGTGCATCTGGCGGTGGCGCCGAGGGGAGCGTCGCCATTGACTCGCGTCAGCATAGTGCGCCGCATGTTCTTCGCGCATTTATAGAGGACTGTTAGTAGTCTGCGGACGCGTCGAACGGCGCGGAGTGGCCGAGTGTTACTGTTGTTTGTCGTTGACCGGTGCCCGAATATATCGCGACGCGTCCCACTGGGCTGAACGCCAGCATGGACGCGATCTTGGCAGCTCTCGTCGCGCTGATGGCAATAGCCGCAGCAATGGCTGCCGTGCTGAGCACCCTCTCGAAGGCTGCGATCTTCGCTCTACTAGCCATCGCTCCCTGCGTGTACCGTTACAGAAAACGCATCTATGTGATCATTAAAACGTTTCCCCGTGATTTTAAGTGAGTATATTTCGTTTTTTAAATGATTAGAAGAGTATTTCATGTATTTTTAGATAATTGTGTGATGTCATTTCTTACAGCGTATTCAGTCATTGAATTTGATCAATTTATCATTTCGTTCATTCGCAATTTGCCAATGTTTTAGGCTTAAACGTTTCAATTACTGAGCAATAATTGGCATTGGAATAAATATTTATCAATAAAAGCGTCTTGTAATTACTATGAAATCATAAAATATCCAATTTCAATGTTCCGTTCGCTTTGTATTGAAACCAACAGTGCTGCCCATTACTAAAATAACGAAAAAAATATAAAGTTGTAACAAAACGAGCGAAAATTGTTATGTAGTAATAAAGAGTAGGACAAGCTTTCCATATTGCGTACATGAACATATTTTTCTTATTTACATATAAAAAATTACACTGTCAATTACTGAGTTCTTACTGAGTCGTCATAATTGTTACTGCAACTAAACATAACGGTAAACCGTAAAAATAGGATAGTTTATAAAATCAAATCATCTTTACTTATCTGTTTGATATAATGCTAACATAATTAAATGAATGCAAGTAGAAAATAAAATACCATCGTGTATATTATAAGTTTAGTGTTGCTTCCTATGTTGTCACAGTACACACTTCCTTTGTATTAATATGCGTGGATGTAACGTTTAATTGCACAGTAACCAATTATGTGCGCGTTTTGTTTTCATACATTTTGGTTTGTCAGTTGTGATGCTTTGTGCATGTGGAATTGTGACATTATTTTAATGTAAGAAACTAACATAAAATTAATCAGTGAAAACTTTATTTGACTTAGTTATCTGAGAGATAGATATTAGTTATCTCTATACTCAGGTATATTAATTCAACCGGCGTAGTTATGGCTTTAAGTTAATAATTATCGGCTTGGTACAAAATCAAGTAAATGAAAACTTATTGCGGGAGGCGGGTTAAATACAGCTGTATTAGCAAAATATAGACTTTTGAATACACACGGATTTATTTTGTAGATAACAGCAAAAGCGCAAGATAATCTCCCAAAACAAATATTCGAGTTACTTTTTATTTCTTGAACTGTTTTATGACAAAACCGAGTACTAGTGATGTGATCTAAACAATGATTAGTGTTTTCTCCGTAATTTGCTAGTAATATAACTTATACAATAAGTGTCTTTTGTTAAGTAATGCCTCTCAATGGAGACGAGATAAGTAATGAAGTAATGAACTGTATTAAGTTATTTATTTAACTTATACGGTAACGTTAGGAAACTAGTAAAACTCCAATATTTAAATTATGCTTTTGTTTAGGTGTGATCTTTGGCAACAGTCCTGAAAATAAACAAACCTACGATATCCATAGGTAGAGTTGCCGCACCTATTATAAAAAGGGACCAATCGGAGCAATAGTCCCCGAGATTAGCGAGTTCTAACAAACAAACTGTTTAGTTTTATAATATTAGTATAGATATCCTCTTATTTTCGTTTGTCGATATCTGCCCGCCGCTTTCACTGGTTCCTGGCTCATTTCCTTTATAGCAGGTCTGGGGGCGAATCGAACCTAAAGAAGTTGGTTCAAGGTCATTCTAACGGTAAAAAAAACGTGTACATGTTTTCGCAAAGTTATAGCATTGGCTCAATTATCGTTTGGGGCGCATTTCGACCGCCGCCGCACGAGATGATGGTTTAGCCAAGGTGTTATTACATATGACAGATGATATAGTTCTGTGGTCAACGTACATTGGAATTGTCAAAACTGTTTATTTTTAGGATTCCGAACCCAAAGGGTAAAACGGGACTCTATTACTAAGACTCCGCTGTCTGTCTGTCTATTTGTCCGTCTGCCATCAGGCAGTATCTCATGAACCGTGATAGTTAGAGAGTTGAATTTTTCCCAGATTTTAATAGATATTTCTGTTACCGCTATAACAACAAATACTAAAAAACGGAATAAAAATATTTAAGTAGGGCTCCCATACAACAGACATGATTTTTTGCCGTTTTTATAGATAACTAGCTGACCCGGCAAACGTTGTTTTGCTATATAAATTAAAAAATGTTTGGGGTGGACCACCCTTAACATTTAGGGGGGTGAAAAATAAATGTCCGATTCTCCACACTGGCCGATATGCACACAAAATTTCACGAAAATCGGTCGAGCCGTTTCAGAGGAGTTCAATTACAAACACCGTGACACGAGAATTTTATATATTAGATGGTACGGAAACCTTCGTGCACTAGTTCGACTCGCACTTAGACGTTTTTTTTACTTTATGTAAACTTATGATCATCATCATTTTACAGACCATAATATATAGTTAAGTAGCGACCCGCCCCCGTTTCGTACGGGTGCAATGTTGATACTAAATATGCTCTAGAGTATTATGCATGTATTATACCTGGTATAGTACCTGGAGGAACGGTTTTTTTTTTTGGTAAATCATGTATTTTGGAAATAAAAAAAATTATCTGGTATAGAAAAAAAAGTAAAAAAATAAGTGTGTAAATGATCGTGATACGAACCGCGGCCGTCTGTTTTGGGGCCGCCCGATTACCGACCGAGCTATTGTAACATATTTTTTGAGGCGAAATTTACTGTCATATTCGACTGATATTTTTCATTCCCTGAAAACAGGGATAAAAGGACATTTTCTAAAAGTGAAACCTATATCGATTTTTCGCTCCCGAATCTACGCACATACTAAATTTCATGAAAATCTTTGGAGCCGTTTCCGAGATTCCGATTATATATATATATATATATATATATACAAGAATTGCTCGTTTAAAGGATAAGATAAACCTTCCTCCTGAATCACTCTATCTAGTAAAAAACCACTACAAGATCCGCTGCGCAGTTTTAACGATTCAACTGTATCTATTATAAATAATAATAAATAAAATGATTTATTTAATACCAGAACTAAAATATTTAAATTTAAAGATAAACAATTTTTGAAAAAGATTTTAAAACATGCTTAGTTGTGGATTACTGGTGCCTGCAGTAGGCATTATATAGCGTTTAAGCGCATAAATCTTCAGTGTGGTTTTTAAGTTGATCTATCTTTTTTATTTATGAAAAATACATAAGTGAAGTAGTTGCACCCAAATCGGTTAAGCCGTTTCTGAGATTAGCGCGCTCAAACGCACAGACAAACCGACATAAATTTTAAGAATCATTGTTTTTGGTTCTACTGCGTTAATAAAGGCCCCCAATAATAGTTTTTCTCAAATATCTTCCATGTACAGACAACGATTAGTTACGTTTTTATTATATATGTGTATAAGAACATATTTAAAAGATATTCAATGTTGTAGCCATGGTGGCGTGACTGCTAACCTTTAATTTTCGGCGCCGGAGATCCTGGGGTAGATCCGACAGAGGTAGAATATATTATTAAGTACGATATAAAATGTAGTACATACGGGCGGAGCCCCGGGCGAAAAGCTTGTATATGAAATATGATAATCATATCGAAAACTCCAAAGTAACACAGTTTGTGAATTAATATAGTTTAGGCAGAGGCAAGCAATCATTATGTAACTAGTAACAGTTGTCAACTTTATATGTTACATAATACGTAAACGTTGTTAACAAGACATATTCCATATATTATTTTATTCTTACTTTGTGAAGTAACGATTCAATAGTTTGTCTATGTAACTATTGAAATATGTACTATTTAAAACTCATTAGGTTGTTACGTTTAAACCGATTTTATCTTGTCTTGTATTAACTGATGTTTTGGCTTTCAGTCCCAAGACTATTAAAGCTTCATCTGACGCAGAACCGGTGGGCTAGCCAGAACCCATGGGTTTGGGCCCTCCGCTGTGGGTAGGGCCACGCATGTGCTCATGCGTGCGTTTAACTATGGTGTGTCATCTAAGGGCCATAGAGGTCTTGGTCCGGACCGAAACCCCGATGGCCGTTGACTGTGCAATTAGCTAATCGGTGGCTGGGGGGCGGTGAGAACCGCCCCGGAACGCGGGTGTACCTTGTGTACGCGTTGTGTTGGTCTCGCCGTGCGCGGAGGCGAGGGCGAACTAGTGTGTTTGTTGTTGCACTAACTGTGGGTGTAGTGTTGTCCGGCGGGACCCCCGGTGGTGGGTCCGGCGTGTCTAAGTCCCGAACCGATTCTAATAACCTTTTACCGAATACTAGTGAGTACAGTGTAAAACCAATGCAATGATTCGTTTTGACAAGATGTGCCTTATTCAGACACCATCTTTTCATTTTTTACACCGGCTTAAGACATATTTATTTCATACCAAAAATAGGACAGACCTGCGGTCGTGGCACTAGTGATGTTTTTTAGAATATATTATGGATGTAGGTCAAATTTTTGGAGAGTGTTAAGGAAACTGTTTTATATTTTAAAAAATATTGTTTTGGGAAGTTTACGTCAAACGTAATTGATAAGAAATATTCACGATCGACCGTAGCAACGAGTACCCATCTAGAAAGGAAAATTTTACAGCAATTTTGTTAGACAATTGTGGTTTAAGTTACCTAAACCGATCCCAATTCTTTGGGGTAGTGTAGACTCGACCTTGAGATAAGTTCATCGGGTGTTGCGTGGCCGTCGGCAATGTCGTGCATCGATTACTCGCCCCGTGACCTGGCGCCTCTTTGACTAAAAGTGTTCCGTACCTGGCCCGTACTAGAGCTAAATCATTTTTCCTTTCGGAAAATTATTGAGTTGGACTATTAGATAGGTATATGTTTATATTTCCCCGTTATCCTTTTGATAAATTGTATTTAATGAACTAACAAAAGTATATGGTTTTGATAATTGAACATATTTAAGTCAAATCAGTCTTTATGAACACTTTTACGTTTACATTACATTTTAGTTGCTCTTTATATTAAAATTAAATATAATTCACCAAAAACCACGTAAAACTTTTTACTGAAACGAGTTTTACTGATGCTTGAAATTTTAACTTTAAGTTTTCATGGACTGTTTATTGTCGCGTCGGGCGATTAGAACATAATGCAAATCTTGAAAATTTCCTTTTGCCACTTTCATAAAGCCTTAGGAATATTTAAAGTTTTTCTTTAACCTTTTCAAGAATGGGGTCTTTTAGTCAATATTTAGTAGGTATGTAGGTACATATATATTACCAATTAATTCTATTTATATTTAGTTTCATTTTCGCCTCTCCACATAATTTAAACGTTATATAAGTTTAGGGGTAAAATAATTTTAATATATTTTATGCATGAACTTAATAGATCAAATTGATACATTGATACTGATGTCTAGGAATATGAATATGAGAATGTCTGAGATCCGCTAAGTATGACGAGTTACTAGTATAAAATGTGAAATTTAGCAACTACTTTGGTAATAAGTACGCTAGAGTTCATATTGTTGTAAGGATTTTCGATTTCCTTTTTTATTTCAACAAGAACCGTTTTTTTTATACGAAAAGTGTGTCGTGTTTAACAGACATTAGTTAAGTACGGTGAGGCTTACAACGAAAAAAAAAAAATTTAATGTGGACCCCCCCCCCCCCCCCCCTCTTTGTCTCGCGATATATATGTACTTTTCTTCAATGAAAAATACCCTGTTCCGTTAATAATGCACAAAAAACGTTCACGTAAAGAAATGTGGAAGTAAACACTTCTTCGCGATGTGTGTAATCAGGTGCTGGGGACTATTTTCGTCTTGAACTTTACCCAGCGCACGTTCAAACCTTCGTGCGTACGATTTTATTTCATAACAAACATATTTTTTATTTGAAAGCTCACTGTCACTTTTAAAAACCTATAGCCAGAAAAGATATTTATTTACATTTCCCCGAGATGTAGTGGACGACACAAATGTGAGAAAGTGTTTATTTATTTATTAAAGTTTTCGAACAATTGTTACATTTGTATTGATTGTTATGAGTACACAGAGAATTATATGTATTAGGTCTTAATGTATAATCTTTTACAGGTAAACATCGCATGCAATAATAATTTAGGTCGAAAATCTAGTGTAACGGTTTTTACCTAATTTCTAATTGCATGAACGGAACAGAAAAACGCATTTGTTCACATTTAGTGGGGTTCAACTTTGACTATGCCGTAACAACTAGTTGAACGTTTTATGATCAATGAATACAAACGTTATTAATACAGGTTTATTTTGAATTATTAATATTTGAAGATTAGTTATTTTGGAGAGGTTAAATAGAAAATATCAGCTACCCATTATGTAAATTCCATAACAAAATCCATGCAGATAAAGTCCTGGGATGGAGCTAATATTGTAAATAGCTAATATACATATGTGTGTACACAAATTTAAGACCGCAAACCAGACAACTCTTCAGTTTATTGAACCTGTTTCTGAATATTTTAAAATTCGGACACGTATCACCGCGGTGAATAGTAAACATCCCGAGGATTACCATATTTGAATGAATCATTGAAATTATGGAATCCTTAAAATTATTTTACATCGAAACAATGATTTAACAATCATTAAAAGATAGTGGATGTTAATAAATAAAATTAGTTAAAATAATAAAGTTTCTGGTATATCCTGAACTTATGTGAATGTATGTATGTAATCTGTAAATGTATAATATAATGGAAGAGAGGTTAGTAGTTGATAAAAGTGGAAATGACGTAGCCGGTGAATTTAAATGCTTTAATTTGTAGTCGCACGATATCTTGCAGTCGTGCGTTGAGTTGCGGGACTGTTTTTGTTAGACCGGAACTACCTGCTTGGTCCCGGATAAGATTATAGCGTTGAATACGACTTTGCGTGCAATGCACTTTGTGTCGTTATTTGTAGCGGAATAAAAATGCCAGTGGTATGGGAAAGTAACAAATGTTTATCAGGCGTAAGGCTTAGTGCGTTTAAAGGCCGCTACTTAAAATCGATATCGGCATAGCGTTAAGTTGCCGTGTTAAACTAACTGCAGTGCGCAAAAGGCAGACTGTCTCCTTTATTCAATTGTAGGATTATGATCGTACGTCACAGCGGTATACGCGTATAATCCTCAAGCGTCACTGTCCGCATTGACGTGCGTTTCACTTCGACACTAGACGGAGCGCATGTTTTATTGAAATTAGCCAAACTTTTAATCATTTCGACTAAACGAGAACATCTTCGAATTTTTGCAACGTTTCCTTGTCAATCATTTTGTTGTCATTTGTATCTAGATATGGTTACCATCAATAATGTCGTCAGAAACGTCGCGATAAAAATGTATCGATTGATAAAATCAATACATACACGCCACGCCAGAATTTTGTTCACATGCCTTTATTGAATTACAATACACCAAGCGATAAACGATCGAATTTCCATGATCTAAATACGAAAATGGTATGAAGTTGTCATATTTATATCGCCATTTCATGTTTCCTTCCATAAATATTTAAAGTGAAAAATGGCACGATTATTTTACAATTCATAAAAATGTGCTACCTTATTTTTTTAAAAAAAAAATTCAACAAAAACGTGTGTCATTAATGTATTTCCTTTAGAATTCTTACACTTAAATGTTTATTTTGGTCCAACCCTTTGTATGGTAGGCCTGAAGGCTTATTTTTACCGGGTACAAATATGAGTATCATCTGAGGAGCTAGCTGATATCCATTCGCACTTTCCAAGATGGTTTTGTACATAGCAAACAACAATCTCATTTTACGATACAACGAATCCAAAAAGAAGCCTGTAAGCTGTTAATAACTGTGATGGCCTGTTCATTCGCTTTTACCTATATATTATATATCCTGTATTCTGTAGAAACCATGGGTAGTGTAAGATAATTTACTATCCATTTTAATCCTTTTGGTCGCCACCTTCATTGCGTCAGGGGGCTCTGAGCATCTCAGAAGAGATTGCCACCTCTTCTAGCTATAATATAGCCATTCTTTAACAACAACTATTAATTATGTTCTAACATATAATGTTTTAAAACAACTATTTTATCTTCAGATTCTTGCGGCGGTATGCCAGGTCCATTTTCCGGTCTAAGAGATGGGGTCGGCAAAATGCAACTGTGGCAGAGCTGTTTACGAAGCGAGCCCTCAAGTATCCAGATGACCCTTGTTTTATCGTGGTCGATGATCGTACATGGACATTTAAACAGGTTAAATTTGATACAGATTAAATTTACTTCAATTGTAGTGGTTAATTTAGATTTATAATTATATCTATGTTATATTTTAGAGCACATTTATTAACTTTCATTTTTATAGTCTTCATTTAGAACTTGCCATGACAAGGGTTGACTGGTAGAGAATGCCATAAGGCATTAATTCCGCCCATTATATACCTTAGCTTAAGGTGTAGCAATGAAGCTTATATAAATATTTTTTTTATGTGAAAAGTTGCCATGCGTGTAGACGGTTCTCCTGATGTTAAGTGAATACCGCCGCCCATGGAAATCTACTACACCCAAGGGTTCCAGATGAGTTGATAACCTTTTGAAAATAGGGTTATATGTATTAAATACATAAATGGTTATGATAATTGTATTCACCAAATAGATTATTAAAAATTTGATAGAAAGCCGAGAGTATTGGCGATGCGCTTATTCCACCGGCCTCAACATTGAAATATTTTCAGTAACATGAGTTCTAAGCAACGAGATGTACCTATAATGTACTTATTAGTGTTTATATGCGACACGACTTATTTTCACACTGTGTTGCTAAAAACGTGTTTCCTACACGTATTCCATGTCTTTGAACTTTTAAAGTATTTAAGTACTTTGAACATTCGCTTTATATTTGAGAAACGATGATTTTTTTATGGCTGTGAACTAGCTAAAGCTGGACATGCGCTGTGATGCTAATATACATAACCTTTATTACCGCTTCAGAATAGATATAGACATAATTTTAGACAGACCGAGCTTTCTCAGACAGCCTAGCTTAAATGAGAAGCTCACTCCAAAAGCTAGGCGGAGCGGTGGAATAAAAAGTTCACTGCATTTGATCTCCTGCTGAGAAACTCCCCCCGGGTTATCTTTGACTTGAAAAGAAGAAGAATGTTGCTTGATGACGATTTTACATATTCACAAAGTCACCCCGTAACGAAATATTAATGTAACTGTCTCATTTGGAACAAATAAATACTCTTAATTTTTTACATCGTACTGCCTCGCATTAGCTTTCAGTTAACTAGAGTGACTTCGACCGGGGAAGTACAACAAAGTAGAATATATTAAGAATTAGAGACTATTGAATTTTCAATCCGTTAAGTGGTCTTATCAATAGCCCATTGGTTTAAAATCAGTTGAGGAACTTTCTCGTATAAAAAAAAGACACAGTTAAATACGGCTCTTTATTAATTTAGATGGCGGAAAAGTCCAACCAAGTGGCGCGGGTTATGCAGGAGCACGTGGGCCTGACTCGCGGTGACGTGGTGTGCGTTTTCATGCCCAACTGTGGGGAGTACGTGTGGACGTGGCTGGGCATGGCGAAGGTGGGCGCGGTGTCGGCGCTAATCAACAGCAACCTGCGGCACAAGCCACTCCTTCACTGCATACAGGTCGCCAAGGCGAAGGCGATTATCTTTTCGGATAGCCTGGCGGCAGGTAGAGACTCCCTTTTTTTTTGCTATTTTAAACAGAAGGTACAAACGGGAAGGCACTTCTCATAGTGGTAAGAAAAAACCACCTCCCTCGCTGGCCGAAAAGCAAAAAGTGAAACTTTACTTTGTAATGATTGGTTTATAATTTGAGACCATCGGCTCGATAGTTGATCAGCTCTTATAGTAAGGATTTGTACACCTTAAAATAGTTTTATTTAATTTGGAAGAATATTCAATTTACTCGTAACTTATCAATCTGGTTGAAACTTATTTGTCTGTTGCGTGACGTTCGTGTCCTCTTTTATTTGCTTCGATAAGAACGCCGTTGAGTACATAAAAGTCTATTGCTACTATGATATATTATTAAATTTAGCTATTTTACTTAACGTTGAACCGTGTTTTAAAAAAAATTTCAATGATTTAAGTGAACGAGTCACATTTAGATGTGTCACATTAGTAACGAGTCACATTAGTACATAACATTTTGCGGCAGTTATGACACTCAATATATAGGGCAGATTATTTAGAACGTTTTGAACACAAGTAAACCACACAAACGTGACTGGCGAATAGAGTAACGCCTTTTTATAGCCATTTCAAGGAAATAAAACGCAATAATGGTGCCATTCGGCTTACAAGCATAAATAATATAAATGAGTTCGCCAGTTCGCAAGTTTGGATGACACACTATCAACATAATATGATTTTATAATCCACGAACGCTTGTTTTGTATTGAACCAAATAAAACTCCCCCATACGTTCCATGTCACGTCGTTTTTCTCCCTTTCTTCTGATAAGTAGCCGCCCTTATCCACTTTAATTACTACAATGACTCTCACACATTCGCTGTTGGAAGGCCCTAGGAGAGAAGAATCAATAAGCCCCTTACCTAACAGCGGCGGCTTAGTCCAGATTCGGCTTTGGGGGCTAAGGAGAGTCGTGTATAAAGAGTTACAAATGCATATAAATATATCCCCACGATACAACGCATGCGTCGTACATAATAGAGTTACAAAGCATACCCCCACGATACATTGCATGCTCATCGTCTCGTCGACAGCTGTAGCAGAAGTCCGAGACCAGTTGCCTGCTGAGTTGAAGCTCTTCCAACTGTACGGAAAATGCGCTGCGGACGTAATTGACTTTGGGGCGGAGATGGGCAAGCACGCGCCCGAATACCCGATAGTGGTCGACAAGCCGCAGTACAAAGACCCTATGCTCTACATCTACACGTCGGGCACCACCGGAATGCCCAAAGCGGCGGTGTTGCCAAACTCCAAGTAAGGTTTCCCATTCTGAAATTTTTATGTATAATTGTTACCCAAATGTGAAATCGGAGTTTTCGGTAGAACGTAAACAGTCATTCAATTTTTACATGCACTGCACTTACGAGCATTATTTCAGAGTCGTGCACCTTTTTAAGCCTTTCGCTTGTTGGATACACTGCCTCACATTTTAATCGGTTACGAATTTGTCATGTTTCTGTTAATAATTGATCACTTTACATAAGAATAGCATTGTCCCATGTGCTCCATAGAGTTCGAAGACGTGAGAATCTGTTTTAAGAATGAATAAAATTGAAGGAACGATTTATTGCATCATAGATTCATAAAATGCTATGATATTCTAATGCTCGATTTCTATTCATTAAAACATTAGGCAATAGACATTCGTACACAAGAAAGTGGACAAGAATCAATTACTAAAAGTATTAACTTCAGAAAAACTTAAATCAAGTAATTACTTTAAATATTTCACATTAACTAATGTTGCATAAATTTTGTAGATTTCATGATACGTTGACCTGAAGAGTTGACACGGTTTTCAAACAAAAGAATCTCTGATGTATGATAATATGGCTTAATCATTGTCTTTTGATTGCACAAGTGTTTCGCATACGCATACATCCGAATAAGATATTTATAATATTTCAATTGTATTGAATACCATATGTGACAATTTTTATTCTATTTAGAAACGAATTTATTTTTGGCCACCAATCTAATGCCACTCTACAATGTAGACAAAAACACTATTTGCAACGCGTGATTGTGTTTATAGAGCCATTATACCCGCATGTCACATATGTTGCGTGCTTCTTTTTAAGACTTATGGATCAAACTAAACTAAACTAAACTATTGAGTATAAATTATAAAAACATAATGTTACATTTATTTCTATAATACCGTATACGATTTTATTAGCCACACAAAATAAATCTATTACGTCTTTAAACTCGTGATAGAGAGAAACTAATAAATTCAAACGGTAGGTAATAAACGAGACGGTCCTCTACAGGCTGAATCTAACTGATTACGAAATACGAAAAAATTAACATGAAATTGTACGTAATATACCGACATTTCTCATAAAATTTTGAGCCATAATAAAAAGAATTTTTGCGTTTTTTAACTGAAAGTAGGCAGAAATTACTCAATCCACTCTGAAAAATAGCTTTTATTAAGTATTTGATATGACCTATAATGTTATGGCAAAATTTGTGTGTCGCCGATCGGTGAAAAACAATCTTGTTTGATTGCCTGTGGACAGCTTTCGATTTTTTTTTATATAATTATGTACGTTCACATCACGGGATTTGTTCACATGTGCTTGAGAAGTTAAAGTCCAGATGGGTATCATGTGTTTCATTAATATAATAAATAACACATTAACGAAATTATACCTTTGCCAACTACTGTCAGAAGGAATAGTAGTTTAAAGCGTTACGAGGCATTTTTATTACTCGTTCTTGAACATGTAACACGACACTATTAATTCAATTTAAATTGCACACCGCGGCGTGTTTCTGCTCGTAATGAAAACGACGCTGGGGCACTGTATCGCATGCTAGATATAAATATTTAGCGAAAAAATTTTGGCGCTAGATACCTCCTCGTGGTTGTGGCGACCGTGCACATGCTGGGGCTGAGGTCCTCAGACCGCCTGTACAACCCGCTGCCGCTGTACCACACGGCAGGCGGTCTCATCGGCACGGGCGCGGCACTGGTGGACGGGATACCCTCGGTGCTGCGCGCCAAGTTCTCCGTTTCCAACTATTGGAGTGACTGCATCAAGTACGAGTGCACGGTGAGGGAATGTCCAGTAGAAGGACATTATGCGGCGGCTTTTGCGTGTTGCGAGGGGACAACAGGCCCGGGTAGACTGTAACTAGCCCGCGAGCGCTCTGTACTACGCAACTGTGTTGTCTTGGGGATTGTGAAATAGGACTGGGAGCGGACAATGTAAGGATTTCGTACTCTGCACACGTGCAATGCTTTCATTCGCAATGTTGTTTTCGATATTTCATACGACAACTTTCAATCGTAGGTTTTGTCACGGTCATGTCGTTTTTGGAAGGAACTTCTTTACCCCGCTTGCTGAACCAAAGTTACAGATAGATAGAATATTGAAAGCGGCCGTTAGTGTTAGGATTTATTGATACTTCATTTCATTTATTTATTATTCAATAGATAGTTTAAAGCGTAAGGTCCCACGACACCTCTCGTTTTAGTTATTTCTTGTAGGTATATATCATTCATAATGTTTCATTAGTCAATTATCAACTGGATTACAGTCGATCCTAAAACGGACCAGCCTACCCATTCGTGCAATAGCTTGTTGCTAACTGGGATGCCCTCCTACATAGAAAAATTAATGTTTTCTCTACTGTTTAAACTTCCAGGTGGCCCAGTACATCGGCGAGATGTGCCGCTACCTGCTGGCTCAGCCGCCGCGGCCTACGGATTCGCAGCACCGCATTCGCATCATGGTAGGCAACGGAATGCGCCCCGCCATCTGGCAGCAAATGGTGGACAGGTCGGGAATACACTCCATTCTAGCACCCCGCATCTCATCGATAGAAACAGAACGATTATTTTAATATCAGTTTGTTCGCCTGCGTTTTTGTCTGTCTGGTGAGTGAATGAATATATTTTTATTGCACATCAACATAAAATGAACAAAAATCAAAAATTTTCATTTAGAGGTTATGGTATTCCAGACTACGTTTTGTGAGATCCTTTTTCACGCATAGTAGAGCCCTCATTATTAAATTATTTTGTCGGGTATTGAGATCTACGGTGTCTTATAAGTCAGTGTTATGACAATTCAATCAATTAAGTAACGAATTTTGAGTCACCAAAAGTCGGTGAAATCTGTAGAGTACTTCTCGTTGATCTAATATAAAATTTAAAAATAGTAATGACAATTTTTAGTATCAATTAGTTTAGGAAATGTTATATAAAATATACAAAGAAAATTAGTAATATTCAATGCATCTGTCTTTGTTTAGGTTTAAAGTGCCACAGATAAACGAAATCTACGGGGCGACGGAGGGCAACGCCAATATCAGTGAGTACAATACGGCTGCTATTTATTTTAGCCTCATTTACACGACATTATTTTTTTATATCCTTATCGTGAAACAAGCTAAGACCACTCGTTCAGATGTTTGTAAATAATAACAATAACGCGATTAAGCATTAGGCAGAAATGTAAACAGAGATAGTTATGGTTGCTTCATTAGAATTTAATAAAATTATCACGAACATTTTTTTCATTAAACAGAATAAGAATTTGTAAGTTCACTGATAAATTACTATTAAAATAGTTTGTTTGGGAAAAATTTTAAATATTCCATCGACATTTTCATCGGTACATTTCATTGGTGTACCGGCTTACTCGAGTATAATATTGGATTAGAAAGAGTGCGAGTATAATATTGGAGAATGAGAAATCACGGGCCAGATTGTCTGGTCACTCAGTAATATTTCAAATTCTTGTATTTACGCGATTACGCGTAAATACAAGAATTTGTCGAGCACCGTTCAATATGTTTTTTTTAATGTAAAAGTTGTCAAACGAGCAGACGGATCATCTGATTGAGTTATGTTGTTGACATCTGATGTTAACTGAATACCGTCGCTCATTGACATTGCTACAACCGAGGGTTCCAGATGCGTCGACAACCTTTTGAAAATTGGGCTCCGGCCACCTCACTCACCAGACGAATCGCGATAGTATTATACTTCCACTTTACGCCGGTCTTCTGTGAGGTCGTGGTACTTAACCGGACGAGTATGCCCATTCGTGGAACAGCCGAGACTGCTGCATGGCCCTACCACCGTAAAAGCCTCCGTGGCGGCTGTTCGCAGTTAACGTGGACAACAAGGTGGGCGCGGTGGGTTTCCTGCCGAAGGTGGTGCCGGCCAGCCTTCACCCCATCGCACTGGTGCGGACCGACGAGCAGGGCGCCCTGGTGCGCGGCCCCGACGGCTTCTGCATACGCTGCCAGCCCAGTAATGAACGCTCTTCGCTAACAGCTAACGTCGCATTCCTTTGATTGTTCCCGATTTGTTTGTTCATTTTATACTGCACCAGACCGGTACGAACTTGATGAGCGCTAAATTTATCACGGTCACAAATCACACAGGTCACAATTTGGAAAAAGTGTCAAATTGCAGTATAACAATGTGATACTTTATCGTTAAAGATTATTATTAATAAGCTACAACAGTAACCGGTAAGCGTCGATACTTGATTACTAGCAGGACGAACTTTCGCCACATGTTTAACAATACGTGAGGTATATTTTAATAATATAACAAAACATATATATTACAATTTCGTCGTGTATTACGCATGAATCATTACACATTTATATCATATAAATAGTGGTTTTTGTCCGTAAACATTAAAACGGAAATTCATTGTTGTGTAACGTAATAATGTCAGATAAGATTTGACAATACACAATCAAAGTTTTAAATAGTTCGGAGGGCCAGGACGGAATTGCCTCATAATATACATATGTTTGTCCCTGGTTCCATTTTACTTAAATGAGTGTTAAAAATATTGACTTCTGATAATATGTCGAAATAAAGTCTGGCTACTGTGTGAGACCCTGTATATAATTATTAGTCTAATTGAATAATATCGTTTTTTTTAGTGTAATTGATTAATTTGTTTCAAATAAATTGAATGGTGGGTCGACCTAAATCAATAGAAATCTTTGGAATTTTTAAATTACAACATACATATTTGTTTACAGACGAGCCTGGCATGTTCATTGGATTGATTTCTCAAGGCAACGCATCTAGGGAGTACCACGGATACGTTGATAAGGTTTGTGTGAAGACATTTCATTTTAAGCATGATAATGGAATTAAATAAAAGCGAGAATAAAAGCATTAGTCCGTTTTCAAATTGTACACCGAAAATACCGACCATGATTCTAAAATAATTAGAAGTAAATTTCTCATACACATGCCATGAAGAGAAAGAGCGCCACGTGAAATGGTGCTAAAATCGGACGTGGAAAAAACCAAAGATGGTCAATAGTGTTAGTCACAGACAAACGAATATAACGTCAAAAAATTGCATTTAGCATTGTTTTGGACAGTTCGTTGATTTCGTTAAACTTGTCTGTTATTGATTTATTTATCATATTTTTTGTTACGCATAAAAAAATTAACTCCATTTTTAGTACATTTAATAAATTCGTATTTTAACATCTTTAGGGTAATTGTCGTAGGTAATAACACAAATGACTTGTCCCTTGCGAGGACCAACAGACCAATCCGTTACCGAACTGCAAACGAGACATTGGGCGGTCGTATAAAATAGTATTGGTTCACGAAATCTGGTAAAGTAGCTTCAGAACGAATTGGTGGCGATCTGTCGCGTTTCTTTCTTTTTGTGAGAAGGTGGCAAGCGAGCTGGTGATTCTCCTGATGTTAAGTGATAAACGCTGAATATGGACATTTGCAACACCCATAGGGGCAGGTGCGTTTCCACCTTTTAATAAAGTGGGCTCCGTTTACCACACTTAATAGACGAAACGCAGAAATGTAACTAACGAAAGAATGTAAAAACTCTTCACGTCGATCTTCTATGAAGTCATGATCTAGTCTACTTCCCCGGACGGGTCCGCCCATTTGTGCAACAGCGAGGACCGCGTGGCCCTGCCACAGAGTAACTAACACATGACAAATTGTTCAGAGCGACAGCAACAAGAAGCTGGTGCGCGACGTGTTCCGCAAGGGCGACGCGGCGTTCGTGAGCGGCGACATTCTGGTCGCCGACGAGCTCGGCTACCTGTACTTCCGCGACCGCACCGGCGACACGTACAAGTGGAAGGGCGAGAACGTCGCCACCGCCGAAGTGGAGGACGCCCTCATCGTGGCCGTGGAGCGGCGCGATTGCGTCGTCTACGGCGTCTCGGTGGGCCGTCATTTTTTTTATTAGTCGCCATTTTTTATTAGTTGTAAATTTTACTAGTCACCATTTCTAATTTCGAAATGGATTTTTTATCCAATATCCCTCAATGTATGGTGTCTTCAATCCATGTTGCCAGTGATGACCTACAGAACCGAGACGATGTCCTTTACTGCTGGCCGTATGAGAAAGCCAAAAAGCTTACCAAGCTATGGTGTGGGCAATGCTTGGTATTTAAAAGTCATATATTCGTGTAAAAGTCATAGTCATAATCCGTTTGGGAGTTCTAGAGGATTTTTTTTAATTTAAATTTTATAGTAAATTCGTCGTTATCCGCATCATAGCCAGCACATTAGGACAGTTTAATTTTAGGCTCCGATAAACTTACTGCGTTAATGGCTTTGCACTTACTGCACTTAGCACGTCGTTCAGCGCACGTGAAAAATATTTGTATAAGCGTTATTTTTTTCGGTCGCATCGACCGGTATGGTTGTTTGTACAATTTATTTGTACAATTTGTACGTAAAACTTCGTTCTTGATATAATGACGTAAAGATTGAAGACTTTGGTCTTCAATCATTTATCTTCTCGTCTTTATCCCACAATGTTTAAATACATTCTAATATTGTGGACAAATTTTTAAACATTTTGGCTGAGAACGTTAACGTTTCATATTGACGTGTAGAGCAGTCTAAGTAATACACAAGGAGCGCTAATAAAAACAAAGTTGTGTCTTCGTAAGCGTGTACATGTTTTATTGCATACATCAGATCCCGCAAACTGAGGGTCGCGCTGGTATGGCGGCCATCGCGGACCCCACACGCTCGCTGGACCTCGGCAAGCTGGCGTGCGACCTTGACCTCTCTCTGCCCTCGTACGCCCGACCTCTCTTTCTGCGCATCATGAACGACATCGAAATCACAGGTGCGCAAATTAAACCTAACAATGCTACATCTAATTTTTCGATTGTTCACTTCCTACTGATTGTAGTTTAATTTATTTACGTACAATCTTCAAGTATGTATTATTGGTACATTGTGTTTTGTATACTTTAATATCCAAGGTCACGTGCCCTTTTACATATTGTAATAGACTTGTAACAATGCTGTGCCGAGAGTTTTGACCTTGGATGTTAATGCGTACATGATTTATTTGTAGACTATTTTTACTATAATCTCATCTTGAAGTCTTCTTTCTACATTTAAGATTGATAGTAGAAATGATCTTTATGAGTTGTAGATCATTTTTATAATTGTAACAAATATGTTTTCTTGGATTATCTTCAATTTGGTAAATAGTGTATCATTTATTGCAGGCACATTCAAGCTCAAAAAACTTCAGTACCAAAAAGAAGGCTTCGATCCGGACGTGATTAAAGATCCGCTGTACTTTAGATCTGGCGCAGAATTCGTTCCTATCACATCTCAGTTGTTCAAAGATATTTGCAACGGTAAAGTGAAACTATAGATGGCTACGCAACTGCTGTTGAAAATTTTTGTTCGACCTATAAAACGCTACATCACAGAGTTCACAATACTAGAGAGTTTAAACCAGAAATGTTATTAATTATTGTAGCGTGAATAATTGGCAGCGGCGACAAAGTGATATCTTATTATTGTTATTTGAAAGTTATACCGATTACTTTATTTGCTCTTTTTATTTAAATGTCACAGAGACGTTATGGCGCGAATGAAATACCAAATAAATGTGATGTTAAACAATAATAATGTATTTATCATTTAGAATGGTCTAAGACCGTGTATTATTTCTGTAAACTTTATGACAAATTGGACGGATGTGATTAGAAAGTCATTAAATGATGCAAATCTACAATATACTTAGTTGGTAAAAGTAACGTGTTACAGTGAAGGTGTTATACTTGTCAATTTTTGCTAATTTTTGTACGATTTATTTTGGCGTTTTATTCCAATTTTGTCTCTCTCCAATTTAGACGCGTCATTAAGAACTTGCGATCATCATTAAGAACGATCCTTCAATTCTTAAAGTGAAAACATGAATAATTTCTAATAAATTATAAAAAAATATCTATTTAAGTCCAAATTTTATGCAATACGCTATCCAATCGATCATGTTATTTGTTGACTTATAGTTCGTCTCTCGGCACTGATGTTTCAAATTTTTACAGAGCCCAGATTTCACGATTCATTACATTATTAAATAATTATGTATTGATGTTAGATTTTTCGACATATTCTTGAATTTCAAATCCCTTTAGCGAAATTGTAGTAAAACATTCCGAAATCTAGTCTATTAAGATTTTTGTGTTATGGGTCCTATCTTACAGTTTATTTCTGCTAGCATATAGTTAGTGCATTCAAATGATTTCGAAGTCTTAGGATGAGGTAGATAACAGAATGTATGCAGTTTTTCGTGCCTTGGGGACAAGGACCGCATTATACATTTACATTATCTATTGCTCCCAAAATTATTACTTAAGTTGTAAATAAATGCATTAAAAATTAGCGTTGTATTATTTCCTGCAAAGATACTATTACGATAAAGAAAATTAAAAAAAAATACGAAACGCACCGCAGCGTTCTAGGGAAATAACAGCAAAATAAATTAGGGAAATGAGTAACGATGAATACAAGCCAAAGAAATTGAAAATAAATATTTGAAAGAGTTTCAACTTAAGAGTAGACATAAAGTGATACGTTTTTTTTAATGTAAATAATAATAATTATTATTTTAACACCTCTTATGAGACGTCTTGGATGTATATTGCACTTTTGTAATTTTGATGAATGTTACTTAATATTATTTACTTTTCTTGCTTCTTAAAAATCAAAGTAATTAAAAATAAAAATAAAGTACAAAGTTAATATAATAACAAAAAAACCGTCACGTGTTTGGATATTTCCTTAATAATTATTACTTTGTATTGGGTTTATTACTGGTTCATAATATTGTGTTGGATAATAAATATGGTTAAAATGCATTTTTGAATTTAAATAAACATTTATTTCTCTGAAAAATAAAGGATTTACTCGAAATATAAGTAACTTAACAATACGTAGTAAAATACATTTGAAAACATAATTATATCTTTAACAAATCACTCCAAACCGGAAAAATAATGACATTCATATAAATTATGGGACTAAACAAAATATCACACATGCTAACATAATAGTCTTAAATACTAAACATTTTAAGCAAGCTAAGACTAGATTAAATGAATATAACAAAAATTCTTTAGTACATAACATTTGTAACTCGGTTTAGAATACCTGTTTGTTACAATCAGCATAGACTATGGATAGAAAAGCATTAAAAATGCCATCTGCTTTGGATATGTTGTCACTTTGCCCTATGCAATCATCTGTTTGTAGCATATTCCTTATCCAATCACTCGTAATAGTAAATTTCGATTGACCTAAACACAGTAAAATGATTAAGGCAGTGTCGTTTATGATTATGGTGATCTTTTTATCTTCTTGTAACAACGTTTTTAATACTAGCCAAAACGGTAGGAAAGATAGTTTATAAGAAAAACTTCTAGGTTTTTGTTTTAACACTATTACGTTGTCCTACATTTGTTTCGATAATTTCTACGATCATATTATATTTATGATAAATAAACATTAAGAATTTGTTTGTTGTTCGTTGCTACAATGTTTATATTTATATAACTAAGGAGGCGTAGATAGAAAACTAATACCTATGTCGGTTTCCTAAGGTTACAAAAACAGTTTCTCCTGCTAGTGGATATTCGTTTAGTTCTATAAATATATCTTGCCTATCATATTTATTTTTGATCATTCCAAATATATACAAGGTTCTACCATTAACGTAGAATAACGTTGTGTTATGGAGGTATATAGGAAGAAATACCAACGCATCTTCACTTGCAACTTCTCAGGGCGGCGGAAATCATTTAACCTCATGCCAACCGCCTTTTTGCTTGAAAACTTTTCACATTAAAAAGACTTAGTTTTTATGTAAATTTGAAACATCTACTTAATCCAATCGTACGTGCTTATTTGTGTAATAAATGGGTAGTACAATTAATTTTCAAAGGCTTGATATAATTTAATATTATATACATTCAATAATACTGTTTTTATTCCAGTCGCATAAGTTCAGAAAATATTAATATATCAAATATTAAAGTAAAACAAAATAAAAACGGATAATAATGCAAAGTTAAAATCATAACAAATATAAAGAAAAACAGTATAAATTTGCTTGTATATTTGTAGTGAATGAATTTTTATCTGAAACTGACCCAGTTAAGTCCGAAGACACCTATAAAAATTTATAAGTGTCGCGGATAGTTTTGGTGCTAATGAATAATAAAATTTTTTTACAAAGTTCACACATTACTTCATATATAACTGCGTAGGACTAGTTTCGAAATCATATTAATTAGCCACACAGTAAATTGTTGGTTCAAGACGGCCCTAACACAGTAATTTGAGATGTTACGACACGATGAAGAATTATATTTGTTCTTAATTTAATGCACTTCAAATCTCAGAGCATTCACTTTCTAGTCTCATTGTAACATAAACAATCGTCAAAATTGAAACGATTTTATATAGGAGACTTAAAGATCGTTGGTGGCTTGACTTGTCCACGTGATGTTATAGTATTCACATCATAAGCACAAATTTTTGTCGATATTAATGAAACTTATTTACATTTTGTCACTATGTCATTATGTTTCTACGTAAATCGCTAGTTACATTCGTATAGCCAGTAAGTTTAAGCAACACGTGTCTTTTGACTCAGTGCACAACATATTTACCTATTTTAACATTGGACCAATTACATTATACATACAATTATATGCAGCAATACCTTTACACAAGTGTAACATCCGCACAGTCACTCACACCTTTTCGCTCCGTTTAAAGGCAGAAAGTTCATGTAGCGCATATTGAGATTCGTTAAATTAACAATATTTCACTGCACATTTAAAGGAAATATTATCTATTTTATAGCGACAAAGCATTCCACAAAATTTTAGTTTCATAGTTTATAACATTTTCCGGATCGTTATAAAGAAACATCTAAATGATTATGTTTGGCGACGATTTGAAACTGTTTCAAAACTCCTCAAAACCCAACAAAAAAAACTTACGCGTTTATATATTCTATCAGGTCGTTTTCAATTACAAATAAACAATATACACATAGATTGAATTACCATAATAAAACATTTCTTATATGCATCCTAATATGCCAGGAAGCCAGGAGCGTGCATGTCATGGTTGCGGAATATGCGTGCGTTCACGTGCTTTTACCTGAAATGTATTAAATTGATAACTTTTAATTATTAAAATAAGAGTTCAGCAAATTTGACGAATCCTTTTAACCGGTTTAAGTCTAATTTGTACTGTGATACTACCTACGTACGTATCTCACAGCGATTTCTGAATGAATATGTCGGTACGCTCTGGGAAGTTCACGAGCTCTGAGAAGACTAGTGAAAAATAGAAGTAGTTTTACTTTCACGTTCCTTCCGCTAGTGCCTCACGTACAGAAAAATCAGCCTCTTAAAGGTTTTCCAACGCTTTGGACATAGTGGGCGGGCTAACCCCCGGGATGTTCAATAAATCAGGGGCGATCAGTTGTTGAATGAGGGTCCTTGTACAATCAATCATAGAAAGAATCGATTCGCCGGGGTCAGAGCGCAGCCAGAGCCAGTCAAGTGCCGAGCGAGGTTCCTGCGATCGGGATCCCGCCTTGTTATCCCGCCGTGGGTGAATGCTACAGTTGGAAGAGGAAGCCAAACTGGGACTCCCAGTGTGTTCGGCCAACACAAGAGGGTCGTTCCTGATGGGCTCATTGAGCCCACTGCGGAGGCGCGCTGGGAGGGTACGGGGGAGAGGTCGAGGGTGGTGGAGGAAGAGCAACTGCCCTGTCTTCTGCAACCGAGAGAGTTGCGGAGGAAGAAGAGTGTCTGTATTGCGATACGCCGTTCTCTCCACCCTCCGTGGCCAAAACGTGGTGAACGGCGGAGCTAGAGACCAGGTCAACCGCTGGGGGCTGGGAAGCTTACTACTTATCAGCAATGGCTCTCCTGACTCTTAAAGGGATCGAGAGCGCTGGCTGGGGCGCGGAAGTGTGCGAAAGCGTTCCCGTGTCCCTGTCGATATGCGTCTGTGTCGATCGTAGGGGTTTTAGTCGGTGCGATTCCAACATAACCCGTTCTTGTCTCTGCGAGGGTGAGTATTCGTAGACATTTCCACCACGTAAACAAAAAAGGTGTTGAACGAGGGTCGTAGCACATTCAGCCTATACTCAAAGTTAACAAGCGATGCGCCGGGGTCAATGACCCCTGTGCGTAGCGTCTGGTGGCTGCCGTGAACCTCACCCACAGCCGGGGCTTGTCTATCGTTGAGCAAGAGACCTAGTACATGCAGCCTATACTCAAAGGTAACAAGGGATGTGTCGGGGTCAATGATCCATGTGCGTAGCGACGCGTGGGCGCCGTCTGCCTCAACCGCAGCCAGGGCTTCTCAAGGGTTGAGCGAGGGACATTCAGTTTATACTCAAAGTTAACAAGCGATGCGCCGGGGTTAATGACCTCTGTGCGTAGCAGCTATTGGCTGCCGTGAGCCTCACCCGCAGCCAGGGGTTCTCAGGCGTTGAGCGAGGGCAGCCAGGAGGCGAGGCCGGTGCGCGGCGGCAGCGCGGCCCGCAGCGAGGCCTCCTCGTGCGCGCTGAGCCGCAGCAGCACGGCCAGCGCGCGCGTCAGCTGCCGCGCCTCGATCTCGCGCGCAGTCAGGAACCGCAGCACCACGTGCTTCAGGTATCTGCGTCGAACGGATTGCGTTCAATTGAGAAAGAGACAGAAACTACGAAGAACCGTCAAAGAACTTTGCGGTCATGTTCTTTTTCTTCAACTTAAACTCTTCGCACTTTTTTATAGAAGAGACCGATCCTAGAGATGTTTCCTTTTAATATGTGACTGGGAATTGCATAGGATAACCTTCCTTATCCAAATCAAACGCAAATGCTTGGCGTTTCCTGTAATACTCAGTCTAGTTCGTTCCTATTAAGATGAATCGCTTACCGTCTACTAATGTCTTGTTCCTCCGCCGAGCTGAGGTCGGACTTGCTGCTCTGCAACTCCCGTTGTAAGGTTTTCTTCATATCCGATATTCGATTGTCTAACGTTTTTATTCTCTGGAATCAAATGTCGTAAAATTAAAAAAAAATTATGGTACCAACCAATATCATATGCAGTATAAAATAAATTCTGTTAGAAATAAATTCAATTAGCTGTGTACTGGCTAGTGGACAGAATCTGAAAGTCTGACGAAAATAAAAATATCAACATATTAATGACTGTTATTTCGTCATAAAATATTACAATGTGCCGTATTTAAGTATTTATTATTTAGTAATAAACTAGCACTAGCTGGATTATTCATATGAAAGTATTGTATAGTAAAAAATCACAAACAAATTTTGTTCGGGTGATCTAGTAACTATTACTTATACGCTTCATACTAACCTTATTTTTATCACAGATTTCAGTTTCCAAGTCTTGTATAGTTTTCTTGAGAGCGCTCTCGCTTTCCAGCAGGGCCTCTATTCGTGTTTTCAACTGCTCTATTTCGGCTTTTCGCGACTCTTCGTTCTCTTTTATTATCATGCAAGTCGCTTGGTTCTACAAAATAAAGTTAAAAGTATGGGTACGATTAATAATAAAATCCGTATCGGATATCTTAACAGTATTGTGTGTGATGGCGTAATGTGGACATAGCTAAAATCATTTTCCTTAATAATATAATACCATATAACAGTACACGAGATTCGATAGATCCCGGTTTTTTATTACGTACTCTTGCAACCCGAGAACAAATTCCAATATTGTATATCAATGATGTTAGTAATTGACATTTTTATTGATAGTTCAGTATGCGTCGAATGAAACATCGCGTGGAAACTTGCATAACTAAGAAATGTGCTAATAAATATTAAGTCATAACATAAGTCGGCCCATTGGCGCTGGTGTCTCATGTCATATCTTTCCCCAGTAGTGGGATAGTAATGAGTCAACTGTTACTTTATAGGTTTTATAGACGAAACCATTACGAATATAAAATCTTTCTTTCTGTCTCCCTCCTCTATCCCACCTAGGTGGGTCTCCACAACATGTGAATCATGTTATTAATGGTATTGGCTAGGTATTTTTAAGACCGGCCTCATACGACACGACATCAACCCCTCCTTGGGAATAAACACCTACACCCGTTCTGCATGTCACAAAAATATTTGCCCCAAGTGGGAATCGAACCGACGACCCCGAAGTCAATAGCTTAGCAAGTGTGCCACCAAGTCACAAGTAATGAAGTTCATACATAAACTCTCATATGAAAGTTTACCTCCTTGTGTTGTGCTATGAGGCTTTCCAGGTCGTTTATCTTCGTCCTCAATTCGTTCGATTCGCTTTCCAGGTAACGTACGTTACATTGGCTCATCTCTATGGATTGTGACATATGAGCGTTGCGTAGCAACGCTTCGTCTTTCTCACGCTTCTCCCTGTAGAGTAGAAATTGGAAAGAATTATTTTTCAAACAAATGTTACCCGGTGATTTAATTTAATTACATGGTTTAAGATATATTTGAAGGAGTTTTTGGCATTAGGTATAAAAGATTGGTTGTTACACGAATATGCGGACGCGTTCGGGTAAGTACTACGGCTTTACAAAAGACCGGCGTGAGGTAAAAGTATTATACTTTCGTGTTTCGTCAAGTATGAATTAATCTGAATGATAAAACCGCTAACAAATCACGTGTCGAGAATTTTCTGTTACTGATGAGGGTTGATGATTGGAATCTCACTTGTCGAACTTCCTCTGCATGTCGACGTAGTCGTGCTGCATCTCGGTGACGACGCTGTTCAAGTGGTTCAGCTCGGATTTCTGCTCGTCGTGGAGCTGTTCCGACTCCTCGGCTCTGTCGCGCAAAGTCTTCACCAGCGCCCGCTCCCCCTCCAGCGCCTCCACCAGCTGTCTGTTCTCCTCAGTCAACGCTTCTATTTGCTGTTCGAGTTCCATCGTTTTCTCCTGAGGAATAGGAATCAAATTCAAATGAGCCAATTTCTAGTATGTATGTTGACGTTGAATTGAATCTACGGATTTTAACGTCGTTGTCCTAATAAAAATGCTTGCAAAAAGTAACTAGAACATAATCTTTACATTAGTTTTTTTTTTACAATAAAGGCAGATCTATATGAAATTTTGGATGATCTTTAGCATTTAGTTTAATTATGGTTAAGGATGATTGTAGCGTATTATTTAATTAGAATTAATAATTAGAAAAATTTGATACGGGATCTACATGCAATATTGTTAGAAAATTATAATTTGTACGTATATATTCTAAGATATTTAATAGACCACTGTTTATAATACTAATAACGGAACTGAATATTATAAATAGTAAACTAAAAAAAATATATTTTTTTAGTTTACATTGTACACGTAAAGTACAAAAATTTGTTAGTACTCCCGAGTTGTATTAGTAGCAATCCACAAAACCATAACCTCGTTTGAGTTAGTAAGCGAATAAGCCACGCGTAAGGCGTCAGGATAAATGAAAAGAAAACATCAAATAAAAATCATATTTTATTTAAACTTTCAAATACATAATAAACAAAATATTGTAATTTTCAACAAAATTTGCGGTATTGAACGATATATTTCTGGAATCAAATACTATTAAGATACATTCGCACTTAATACATTACCTTACATCAAAATAAAATGGCGAACAACAAACACGTTCGGCATTGACTACAAACTCGCAGTAAAATGTTGGAATGACGTAATTAATTTCTTACACACAAAACAATGTCATGTGACGCTAACTTATCTCGCCGCTAGCAGATTATATCGCGATAAACATAGTACGCTCATGAAACAGTGAAAAGCGGGAAGCGTTGGTGCGAGAACACACGAAAACCGCCGATTGCATCCATTGTAAAAAATATTTATAACAAATTAAAGGAACAACAGAAACAATAGAAGTTATCTGTAACTAAATAAAATGCTAAATACGTAATATCGCTTTCACTTTCCCAAGGAATTAAAAGAAAGCTATCAAGGTTAACTGTTTATTTGTGGTTTTATATATTTCAGAAAACTAAGTACAAACAAAAAAAAATTTAAAACAATGAAAATCCAAATATTTAAAAAAAACAAGCTGCCAGCCTTTATAAGAGAAAGTTTTAACTAGGTATAATGAAAATATAATGGAATGTTTAAAATTACTAGCAAACCTATAGTGACGTTATATTACGATATTATTTAAATTTATTAACAACAAAATTTTTGACTGTAATTTTTGAAAATTCATTGTAATATTGAACACTGCCGTAAAGAACTAGGTCATAATCTGATAAAATATAAATTTGCCAATGGTTCGAAAAAGAAAACTGTCCTGGTCTACATTATTTTGGAGAATAGACCAGAATAAATTATTTTAATATAAATGATGATTTGCTTTAAAACAATACATTCTTATAAACATGATGTTATGATGCGGTTATGAGCTCCGTTGCCGTATCCAAAATAATCGGGTATTCGAAATAAAAATCTATCGGAGACCTTAAGCGAAATCCGATATGACAGTTTCGAATAGTTTTGGATAGTGGGGGAGACTAAATTGGTCTAAATGACAGAAAATAAATTTTCATATTTTTAATTAATTTTGGGCCAATTTGTCCAAAATAAATTTGTCAAATCCAATAAAATAAATTAAAACGAGTCATAAATTCAATAGATTAATTGCTTGGCTCAATATTTAATACATGAAAAATAAATTATAAATTACAATGATAAAAAGTTATCAATTGTTTATTTCTGATAATAATACTATTTTTTTTTCTTTGTATTTAATTTTTACAATTCCGAAACAATCTTATATTCACAACCGAAACTATCGTATAATCTGAAATAAATTCACATGTTATATATATCTAACTGAATCCGGTAAAACACTATGCGTATAAATACGTATCAATATCCAAATCAGAAATCTCATATCAAACATCGCAATTGTTTTGTGTCCTACATATAAGTCACTATAGATTTGGACTACATCAATTACTACGGGCAATCAAGCGCAAAAAATAGACGAAGCTAGTTTTGTATATTGTATGAATGTTATAATAAAAATCTAAAAAAACTGTGTACTTCATACCAACTTACATTGTATTCGGGTAATGTATATTGAGTAGTGCATTATTAATCAGTTTTAATAAGTACTTCGTGTAAGTAATCAATTTTGAAGTACAAATATTTTAATAATAATTATTCCGATAACAATTTTGTGCTTGTAGAGAGGCAAGTAATTAACAAATTCGTTGTTTGAACATATTAATGAGGAGAACGATCAACATTTTTGACCTTGTTTAATCTTAATTAACGGCTGGACGGATATTGGTATAAATCAATTACTGTAACAATGCCTCTTAACATGAATCATATTGTGATTCATATATATATAGACAAAATAACACGTATATATATTACCCTCAAAATAAAATCTCCACATAATTTCACAAGTAGTATATGCATTGAAATTAAAAACACTAAGAAAACATTGAAAATGCTTGTATCGTGTGGACTGCAAACACGTGCAACTAGCTGCGTCAGTGTACAAGCGATAGCAACTGTAAATCTACTCTGGAACGATCCTAAATGCTGTAGAGGCTGGAACTCACGGCCGTGTGCTCGGCGGTTGCTCGCAGCCCCTTCAGCTCCATGGCCAACGAGTGCACTTCCCCGTTCAGTCTCGTCACCTATTCGTGGGCAGAGGTCAGTCCAAGACCGAGGAGACAGTCGAAGCTACATGCTATGTAATTGTGAAGGTGACAAAGACATTTTACAGCGCGTATGAATAGTCATTATTACTCACGATTTCTATCTTTACACGATTTCAATGTTACGATAACAGCCGTGTTATCGACGACACAGATTTTCTATAACTTTTCATTTACTAATGTACAAATTTCGAAAAAATATATTCAAATTATACTACTCAATTTCGTATTGATACACGTGGGGAAAAAGTAACGTTCCGTTTTGAAATGGATGCAATTTTTGCCCCGCTAAAACAAAATAATACCTTAGCGTCACTGTTAGCCAAGCTTTGCTTAGTCTTTTCCAGCTCTGCTTCGATTTTGGAAAGTTCCTCTTGTATCTCTTTCTTCTCCATCTCAACTCGTCGCCTCTCCGCACCTTCCTCCCCCGCTTGCCGCGATAATCGCGCCACCTAGCGACACAACTTACGTGTGACAATAGAGATGGTTTTACGCTAGTAAAGTAAAATTTTGATAGAATCTAAAATATTTATAGTCCAACTGATAATATTACAAAAATATTTATTAAGAACACGACAAAAGGAGCGGATCCTTATTTCGATGTAGAGGTTTTTGACAAATAATAATGTACACATAACAAAATTTGAGGGTCAAAAAGAAGCGCTGTGGCAAGACAAGAATGAATTATGTATTTACATTTTGTTAGTAAAGTGTTAAGAAGTGAGGTATAAGGACGATTAGGCTTCAATTAAATGTATATGAGTGGCATGCATTTAAACAAAACATGCACAGAATGTTACAAAATTCAAAATATACCTATTTTGTTGATTTTTCATATTTGGTTTCGCTATCCCGGTTCATCTGTAAAACTTAACAATAACGGAAAAATATCTGCCTGCTGTATACTAAACGATCTATGGACGTTGTTGGCAAACATGACTAACATTTCACGTAATTATGTAATGTCTTGTGAATCATTAAAAAAGTGAGAGCAATAACACGAAGATAGGTGCGAAATCCGAGTGTAGGAGAATTCCAGTAGTGGTTTCAGAGGCTCTCTAAATATAAAAACTCGATATTTATTGATTTCCGTCTACACTCTGTTTTGTGGACACAATCTGTCATTTACTAATAAGAAGGCATGATGGTTCTTTTTTGCTACTATCTTTAAACATACAGCGTTGTATACGTATACATGTAACATGCAGTTACATGTATACGTATACAACGCTACGTTGTTGTATAAGGATATTCAATAATTATTCTCAATAATTATTTAATAAGGATCTGTTTAACCTCCAGATTCGGAATTCTTAAATCTGTGCCCGCGTGCCAATATTTTAGGCGGGTATGAAAGAGACGTTCTCATTGGGGATTTCATTGAAATGCTCAGTATAACATAATTAACAGCTGTAATTTTTTTTAAACAAAATAAAAAAAATAAGTGTCGTGCCGTACTTATCACGTGCTTTGCGGCGAAGGAAAACATCCTGCATTATTCCTAAATAATAACAAAAAAATATATTTCTATGATATGTGAAGTTCGCCAATCCGCAGAGGCCGAGTGGTGGACTATGCCCAATGGGACATGTATAGGCTGTATTTTTTTACTTTAAAAAAATAAATATGTGACGTCACCTGTGTCTCCAGAGACGCGATCTGTCCGCTCCACGAGGTCTTGACGTCGGCGAGCGCCATCTTGGCCTCCTGCAGTTGCCTCGTGAGAACGGCGCGTTCGCGACACACGCGGTCGTACTCAGCGCAGCCGGTCGACTTAGAATCGCGTTCATCTACGAATGTTTTTTTTTATTTGAGAAGGTGGCAAGTGAGCTGTCCATCTACCATGGGGCGGTTCACCTGACGGATGGGAGGCCGCTTAGCGGCGCGCAGCGCGCGAGTTTCGTCAACGCGCCGCTAGACCAAGTCATTCATTACCTAGTGTGTGTGTAGTGATGGGCCGTAGGATGTTATCGATAGTATCATGGAAGGCTTTCGAAAATGTACAAAGATGATCCTTATAATATCTTTTATAGACCATGATTGTATTTTACTTTTATATTATAATAGCAATAATAATAAACAAACAAATATAAAGTATGAGAAAGCAATCAACAATTTTAGAAAATCTTCTTCCTGTTAATTATAATTTTTTTTATTAAATGGAAAAGGAATTGATTAAAAATACATATTAAAGTCAAACAAATTAATAAAGGCAAATTACTTATAATTATGATTTTTTTGTTTTCATGGTTTATATTGTTATTTTAAAGAAGTGGCTCATAAAATTTTTCAGAAGATTTTTGCAGAAATTACGAATACAACTTTCTTTATTACATTTTTTTCTATATTAGGAATTTTAATCTTATCCTTTAAACGAGCAATTCTTGTATATATATATATAATTGGAATCTCGGAAACGGCTCCAGCGATTTTCATGAAATTTACTATGTGCGTAGATTCGGGGGCGAAAAATCGATCTAGCTAGGTTTCATTTTTAGAAAACGTCCTTTTATCCCTGTTTTCAGGGAATGAAAAATATAATTCGAATCCTTTAAACGAGCAATTCTTGTATATATATATATATATATATATATATATATATATATATATAATTGGAATCTCGGAAACGGCTCCAGCGATTTTCATGAAATTTAGTATGTGCCTAGATTCGGGGGCGAAAAATCGATCTAGCTAGGTTTCATTTTTAGAAAATGTCCTTTTATCCCTGTTTTCAGGGAATGAAAAATATAATAAAAAACGAATATGACGGTAAATTTCGCCGCAAGAGAAAATGTCAAAATAGCTCGGTCGGTAATCGGGCGGCCCCAAAACAGACGGCCGTGGTTCGCGTCACGATCATTTACACATTTATTTTTTTACTTTTTTTTCGATTCCAGATCATTGCTTTCTTTATTTTAAATTTTTTGTCGATTTTTTATCTTGTTATTTTTTTCCCTTTTTTTTAAAGTTCTTTCTTTTGTGAAAAACATCAGTTCATATTTTCTTATTATTACGTCGGTAAGATCGAAATACATTATGCATATTTCATTACTCAGTAATTTGTATCTAAATGTAATTTAAATACACCATTTACCAATAAAAAAACAAACCGAGCAAAGCTCGGTCCTCCGGGTACTTTATCCTTTAAATGTTCAAGATTTACTATGTTATATTACTTTCTCAACTAAAGTGAAATTTAAAAAACTATCGATAAAATTTTTATTTTTATCGATAAACGACAGCAATTATAACAAGAATCGAAATTTTGCCACTTTCCACAGACCTCGCGTAGCCGCGGTGGCGCGGTGTTTTGGCCATCGCGTTCGAATTAATTTTAATGAATTAAATTAATATTCACCATTAAATTAATATTATCCTTTTTATTAATATATTCTACACCACTGATATTAATTTCATTAAGATTTGTTGATGTATTACGTTCATTTTTGGATTTGAATTTCTCTTTTAGAGGTAGTGTTGACGCTAAAATTAGTTTTTTTGTCGTGTAGTTAACTATCATATTGGTGTGTACTTGAGTGAGTCAGTCGCGCAATAAACTAGCAAGCTGCAACACGTCTTTTTTATTCAAATAATCCCGTGCACTACATACAGTCCATTTTCAACTCTAATACACCAACATATGGTCGAAATCGTTCGCCGGATTTTGCTAGCGGAGCTCGGTCGTCGAGAACAAAAAGAAGAAACATCAACGAGCTGAGAACTAAAAACACGTGTCTTAATATAAAATTTGCATTTACGAACACTACTGTGAATCAAGATTAAGTAATAATTGTGAAATATGGCAAATAAAGAACAAATTCTGTCCGTCTTGGAAGATACTGCAAACTCGCTCAGGAAAACACAAGCCAATCTGAAAAAATGTCCAAAATCTAGACTCACAAAGGGATACATAGAAGCCCGCATTAAAATAATAGATGACTACTGGAGGAGCTTCAAATCTGCACATCAAGATCTGGTTAAGGTAATTCCAAAAGAACAAAAAGGAACATTGCCGTATTTTTTAAACGAAGAATTTTTCATCTATGAAGACCTGTACAACGTCCTCCAGGGCGATTTAAAGGACATGCTTATTGCATCTTCAGAATCTTCATCTATAGATAGAACGAATACCAGCGTCAATGTTTCACAAGTCCAAAACAGTGTGTTACATTTGCCTAAAATACAGCTACCGACGTTTGATGGTACATATGAACAGTGGCCTACTTTCATGGACTTATTTATATCATTAGTGCATGAAAACAATTCCTTAAATGATGTTCAAAAACTTCACTATCTTAAAACAAGTGTGATCGGAGAGGCCGAATCATTATTAAAGTATATACAAATTACTTCAAGCAATTATTCACATGCATGGGATATATTAAAATCAAGATATGGCAATAAGCGATTAATTTTGAATGCTAATATGAAAAGACTATTCAATCAAAGAAAAATGACTTCTCAATCAGCTTCTCAAATAAAACAACTTCTTAATACGACCACTGAAACTTTGAACAATTTACAAAATTTGAAAATTGATATCAGCTCTTGGGATCCGATTATAATTTATCTTCTTGTCCAGAAGATGGACCCAGAGACGCATAGAAGCTGGGAAGAGTATGCTTATAAGGATGATTCAGAAACCTTACCAACGTGGAAAGAATTCAAGAAGTTTCTAGAAACAAAATTTCGAACCTTAGAACTCGTCACTGCAACAAGTGAACGAGAGGTTAAGCGAGTAAGAGAACGTTCATGTCATGTTGCCACACCCGTCGCTGAAAAAAGATGTATCATGTGTAATGATAATCACACGCTGAGTCACTGCAAGGAATTTAGTAAGCTGGAAGCTAAGAAAAGAAGTGAGTACGCAAAGAACAAAAACTTATGTTTCAACTGTTTAGTACCAGGACACTCATCGGTTAAATGCAGACTGCCGGTGTCCTGTCGTATTTGTTACAGACGTCATCATTCTCTGCTACATGAGAACAAGACTACAGAACCAGTGGCTTCTACGAGTAATCCTACACCACTGGCTTCACAGCATGTAGTAGAAGAGAACAAAGACTTTCAAGTCAACACAATGGTAGCGTCCCATCACACTACTAAACAGGGAGTAGCTCTACTAGCAACTGCGATCGTGGAAGCATCAAACGAACAAGGTCATACCATTCCACTTCGCGCACTTATCGATCAAGGTTCCCAAGCAACCTTCATTAGTGAAAAGGCGACTCAACTATTAAAACTAAAACGTCGACCAATTAAAGAATCAGTTGTTGGAGTGGGGGATACAAGAACGGAATTAAAACAGGTTGTACAACTACAAATATGTTCACATTGGACCTCAAGCACTAGTATCTCCATTGAAGCCTATGTGATGGCAAGACAACTCACAACAAGATTACCTGCAAAAACAATTCAAACACAACCTTGGCCTCATCTAAGAGGACTTACCTTAGCTGATCCCTCGTACTTTACACCAGGGACAATAGATCTTCTCTTAGGGGTCCCAGATTATTCAAAAATTGTACAAACTGAACTCATCAAAGGTCCGCCAGGTACACCATGTGCACAAAATACCAGCCCCGGATGGATACTTTTTGGAGAAGTCAGTTCAATTCCTCGAGAAAACACTTACCTTGTTCTGCATCATCAAGTTGATGTAGAAGATATGCTGAAAGCATTATGGGAAATTGAACCAGACAAAAGAAGACATTTAACAATAGAAGAAAAGCAATGTGAAGAAATATATACAAAAACGACAACTAGAAACAAAAATGGAATTTATAAAGTAAAGTTACCATTCAAGGTAGACATTCCGCAATCAATTGAAGGAAATTCAAAATTAATAGCCAAACAAAGATTCATGCAACTAGAAAGAAAATTTCGGAAATCGCCAGACCTGAAAAGAGAATACACAAAGGCTATTAATGATTACTTAGAAAAGGAACATATGGAAGAAATCCCAGAACATGAAAAAGAAAAAAGGTCAGTTTACTTACCTCACCACGCGGTCATTCGCAACGATAAAGAGACCACACGAACACGCGTTGTATTCGATGCTTCCTGCAAGGGCTCGAACAATGTATCTTTAAACGATGAACTGTTAGTGGGTCCAAGCTCCAAGAAGATTTAAGAAATATACTCACTAGATGGCGAATGAAACGTGTATGCTTTGTGGCTGACATCCAACAAATGTATCGTATGATATTAGTAACAAAGGAAGACACTGACTATCAAAGACTTTTCTGGAAACCAAATGAAACTGATGATCTACAGGAATATAGACTTCTTCGAGTTACTTTCGGCACATCTGCTGCCCCATTTTTGGCTGTAAGAACACTTCGCCAAGTAGCGATTGATGAAGGAAACGGAAGACCACAGGCTTGCAAGTCAATAAATGAGAACTTCTATATGTATGATTATCTGGATGGTGCTGATTCAGTAGAAGAAGCTACAAGCCTAGCTAAAGACGTCTCAGACATTTTACAAAAGGGAGGTTTTCTACTTACCAAATGGTCATCAAACAATATAAACTTTTTAAAAACTATCGACGAAAGTAAAAGATCAACCAACGCACAGTTAGATTTAAATCTTGATGGCTCAATCAAAGCACTGGGTATAGTATGGAATCTTAGTACAGACACCTTCCAGTATAATGCGACTTTACCACCAATAACAAATAAAATAACAAAACGCGGAATCCTATCAGACATTCAAAAGCTATTCGATCCACTAGGTTGGATAGCACCAAGTACAGTTAAGGCAAAATTACTCATACAAAACCTGTGGC